ACATTCATAATATAAGTTTGTACGGTATTTGTTTTTGCTTTTTGGCATTTTAAATGCTCTGCACCGGTGACTGAAATTGTCTGCTGCAAATGTAAAGTTATTGAGGAAATCATTAAGGGAAACATTTTGCAAAGGCTAAAAGAGTTGTTTGGCTTCTTTAGACGAAAAAAAAATGAATGATTTGGGATTTCATTGTTCTCTTTAACTGTTCCTATCTAAACCTGCAATTATTATTACCAACACGTTGAAGTGAGAGGTTGGATGTTTTTGGACTGTATTACTAAGTTGTTATATTAATGGGGGTTCTAAATGAATTGATGTAAAAGTGTCCCATCATCCTCTGAAAGATCATCCTCTCTTAGCGCAGCAGGTAAATGGGTCACCTGTCCTTGGACCCTTGGTGCCGCCTGGCCCAGATCCAATTAATCCTGCTGACTGACCGGCCGTGACTTCATTAACAGGCATTCTTAACATTAACCTCAGGGCCTCTGGCTGTCTAAGGAGTCAGCAATTAGGACATGGACGTGTTTCAATATTTTAATTAAGGCAATAGGAAGAAGAATTTCCCAAGTGTCAGTTAATTATTAGAGCAGATTAAAACCACAATAATATAAGAGCAAAGGTCTTTTAAACCGTCTACATGCATGTTGGGGTGTTGCGTCCTGACAATGCAGTGGGTAGCACAAGCTTGGATCAAAGGATTAGCCTTACTTTACATTAGGCCGGTTAACAGGATAGTTGGTGAGCTTTACCAGCACTGCAGAAATAATATATAAGGAGGAGTTTAACAATACTTGAAATGTGTGTTTTAATCAAGACTTCACAAAATCATTAATTCCAAACCATGTTAAACCATAAAATGATCCATACATACGCCTTGTAGCCTATTCTAGAAAAGGCTGTCACGCTAGATTTAAACTGCCACAGAAGATTCCACCTGAGCTCACTCTGTCCCCGTCTTTCCCGGTCTGTCCCAGAACAATGTCAGGACCGAGGCCCGTGGTGCTGAGCGGCCCCTCCGGAGCAGGGAAGAGCACTCTGATGAAGAGGCTGATTCAGGATCATGAGGGCGTCTTCGGATTCAGTGTGTCACGTACGTTTGTGTGCCAACTGGTTATTGGCTTCCATCGCAAAACATCCTGCCTGAGCAAGAAATAGCACAGCTTGATGTTGGCTTCTAATTCTGCACTAGACTTTGTGCCATTTCAGTAAATCATTTATTGCTGAGACTGAGAAAAAGCAACATTACTAATTGCCTTATTTCTGGGTTTTGATGATGAAATCCTCTCCTCACAGACACAACAAGAAACCCTCGACCAGGAGAGGAAGATGGAAAAGGTACAGTAGTTCTGGATTAAAACAGACACTTTTTAGTATCCACGCGAGGTGGTTGATGTTTTTAGCACCCTCACACAGTTTTAGGACCATCATGCTCTGTGATTCACCATACAGGAGCCATGGACTTGGATTTGGATCTGTAGAACTGTGATACAAGTGTATTTTATACCTCTTTGTCTTTTGTTCCTGCGCCACATTCCCAGCCGCCCCCTACCTGCCCGGTCTAAAATAAACGCCCACAACACTTCTTACTCCCAAGTGAACTGCACAAATGGTTTTGTCCCCCTCTATAACTGCCTTTATATAAAAGGGATAAACATTTCTGTGCCTTTTTTGCTTTCTCCATAGGGCTGAACAAGCTCCCCATGCTTCTGGGGGCTACTTTACTGCCAGTAGCAGACGTCTTTTCCTCTGAAGACTTAGAAAGCTCATTTTCGTGTCCAAACGAATCAGAACCCACAGATAAAGGTGACCTCAGTGTGATTCCTGATCACAGTTTTTAAGGCAGAGGGATGGGGGTTACTTTCATCAACCTGGCACGCTGTCATTGGATTCGTATGAACTTGTCATGTGACAAACAAAAAGAGAAAAGATAAACTTTCTAAGGAATCAGCATGAGACAGTCTACACTTTGGAGTAAAAAGCTTTTGAAAATAGCCCCCTGTGATGCCTCAGTAGTGATTCCCATTTTCCAGTCCTGGATTCAGGATTTATGTCCAAAGAATGGTCCCATTTCCCACTGTGGCTGATAGAGCATTTATGATTTGAGACCAATCATTAGCACCACAGGAGAAACCACAAGATCCAGCTGTCATGTTTCTTTAATGTATTAAAACTCCAGTAAAATACTCAGACAGACAGTCCTTCATTTGTACATGTTTTTGTATGGACAATATTGAATACATTTTCATTCATCTAAATTATGTTAATTTCATTTGTTATAATCATTCCAGTAACAGTGGATTTTGCTCACTTCAAAATTAGGGTTTTTTATCTAGCATAGAAATACTGCAGTAACTTGCTGTTTAAAGTACATTCTACCTTGTTTTCAGGATTTGTTTACAGCACAGCCACTTCCTATTCTATCCAGCATTTCCCTTCAGATTCTTACTTCAATCTGAGCAGGCTCCTTCATGTTGTCACGCAAAGGACTGTGCGCTATAGTGGTGGTAGTAGTAATGTGTTTGTTTCTAAACCTTTGCCGTTTTAGATCCCCAGAGGTTTTGATGTTGTGAAGATTTTGGCCTATTGATCTGGTATGGACAATGCAATGTGCCCTGTAACAGTTATAACTAATCACATCTTTGACAAACTAACAGAGCGTAACAAAAAACAAACACAGACATTTCTCATCTTTGCATGGTTTCCTCTTAGAGAACGGCTGCATACCTCACACGCTTGAACACACATCATCAGCCAAGCAATATTATCCAGGAAATGTTATCCAGCGCAAAATATACATTTTGCCTGTGATCACTGCCGTGTTCACTGTTTATTGTGATAAAACATGGATCATCTTTCACGGATTTGTAGTGAAAATTAATTTGATTTGCATCACGTCGTTCATCGTTTCTCTCCACTGTGCAAGTTTTCACGGCAGAGCTAGAATCATTATAAATGATGCATCTTCCAGATTACCACTTCTCAACGAGAGAGGCCATGCAGGAGGGAATTGACAAAGGAGACTTCATAGAAAACGCAGAATTTTCCGGCAACCTGTATGGAACAAGGTAAATATCTCTGCATGAATGCCCCCATATGTTTGATTTTTTTTTGTTGATGATTTTGATTTTTGAGTAAGAGCAACCTTAGAAAATGTCTACAATTTTGATGCATAATCGCTGGAATCTCTACTTTTTGTGCAATATATAAAATCTTTATAGAATTGTTCAATTTCTTTTTTTATTACAAAACATTCATTTTTAAGACCAAGGGCATTCCAGTTTCAATAACCTCTTAAGTGGCAAGGCATTAGCAAGCTGCTCACCTGCCAAAAAGAACGTAATCTGTATGGTTCAGTGTTTATTTGCTGCCTAAATGCTGTTTCCACCCATAGAATGAAAGTGAGAAAGAAAAGCTCAGTTAATGAGTAAAAATACAATAGCCGTTAAGTAACTGTGTCACTAATATTGGTTAAACTTAATTCAATAGAAATTAAGATTGTTGCCTTATATAAGAATACACTTAGGCTTATCCACAGGGATCAACAGGATATATAATAGTCTGGTCACAGATGGAGCTTTAACCCCATTACGTCAAAAAGAGCAGCGCTGCGGCTCAGAACCTTGTGCGCCAAGATTAATCTCCTCCTCTTATTCTGAAGAGAAAACACACTCACTTCAGTACAACTCTGATCAGCTTGGATCATATATATCATAAGAGTAACGATTGCACTCAATACCTGGTTGGACATTGTTCAGATGCATAGTGCAGGTAGTTTAAAAATATTTTATACTGAAACACTGCATTGATTCTTTAGTAAAGCTGCCGTAGAAGACGTGCAGGCCCAGAACCTAATCTGCATCTTAGATGTGGACATCCAGGGGGTGAAGAGGATTAAAGAAACTGACCTGAACCCAATCTACATCTCCATCCAGCCTCCTTCCATGGAAGTCCTGGTATGTGTCCAACTTAATATACTTCAATGTAATATATTGCATTATTTCAACACACTTTTCAACTTATTGTATTCATTAAACTCTGTTCCTGCTTGTGTCAAAGAATGATAAATATGTTAATTCATGACATTTATTTTAGACTTAAGATATTAAATATATATCTAGATCTTCTTTGAAAACAATCCTAAATACTGAGAGAGGATAAGTTAACATTTTTTAATAAAAACAAAAGCAGGTTTGTGAAATTTGTTAACTGCAGACACGACTGCTGTTTTGTTCCTTCACGGGGCAGATTTTGTTTCAAAGATAACGTCTTGTTTCATTGTCGTTCTCAGGAAAAACGTCTGCGGGACAGGCAGACAGAAACAGAGGAGAGTTTACAGAAACGCCTGGAGGCAGCGCGCATCGACATGGAGCTCAGTAAGTTTCTTGTCAGTTCTACTTGGACGTGACGCTGAAATAAAGACAATCACTGTAGCTGTAGCTCTTTTCTAGGTAAGGAGCCCGGAGTGTTTGATGTTGTTATCATCAATGATGACTTAGAGAGGGCCTACGAGGAGCTGAAAGATATCCTCAATGAAGTGAGTAAAACCATAAAATATCCTTTGTTTTGTTTATTTAGCAAATACTTTACTCATAGACCCTTTTGTATGCATGACTAATAGTTAAACATTCAAAATGTAAAAAGTATCCCTCACATCTCTCTTTCTCCAGGAGATCCAAAAAGTTCAGGAGGCCAAATCATAAGAAAAAACAGCAACCCAGTCTTTCTGCTGCTGGACAGAAGAACCAACACTTGTGACTCTGGCCGAAAAACTCCTTCTTCACTGACTGTGGAGAAAAGTTTGTTCTTCTTTTACCCTGTACGTTACATGGTCAGAGATTTGCTCATGACAGTTTCATGCTCAGTGAGGCTCAGATGGAAAAGAGGTACTCTTTTGGTTCTTGACTAAGAGAACAGGGGGTTTGTGTTAGATGTAGTTGTATTTCTGCCAGCTGGCTCAGCTGCAATGTAAAAGAAACTCAATAGGTATAAATGCCAAATTCAGTGCTACATTTGGTCTTTATTACCCAGAGTGTGGAGTACACACACTGCTAATTACTCTGGACAGAAAATAGATACACTTTCATTTATTTGTTTTGTGAATGCAAATACAGTAGAATAATTCACAGGCTACATATTATCTGAAGATTACATGAAGGAAGTCTGCATCTGAGATAAAATCACTACATATATTATATTCAACATTTGCATGTATGTTTGTGTGTTTGTATACAAATGAGACTGAATAAAGAATGTGAGGACAATGGCTGACCACTTCGATGCCATTTAATTAACCTTCCAATCACATCCTCATTCAGGTGAGTGAATGACCCACTCTTTAAGTAGTATGAGACTTAGAAGCGTGAAATAAAACCTATAAATCTAGTCAATTTCCCATTAATACATTTCAGCTTTAAGGCAAAATGTGTACATTTTAAATAAAATACTCTATCACTAAGAAAAGCATCTTTCTGTATGAAGAAGAACACCACATTTTTCACTTTAAGGCCAAACGTGCATCTGCGCCTGACACTGTGGAGCAAAACAACAGCTTTTCAACAATTTTACAACTCATGCAATCGTGGGCACTCATTGCTTAGACTAAACCTTATCCCTGATATGTTTCCATATAAACCAAAGATCAAAAATGTAACACACTCACATATCCAAGCTAAGCGATAAATATACAAACTTATTAAGACGCATCACAATTTCAAAATCAGAGGCTTCTAAAACGATTTTAGAAACCTGACCTGGCTGCAGCTAGCCAGAAAAGAGCCAGACAGGAAACATTCAGCTGAAATGAAATGTGCTGGTTATAAAACCGCTGGTGAAACAAACCCCTACAGTGTTGCCTTACTGGAAGAAGGGACCCTGAAGCTTGGTGTGGACCTGGTTTCGTTTCTCCTCCTTCTGCTTGAGGTACTCTTTAAGCTTGTCTGTGGAGAAACACACTTTGGAGTGTCGGCCTTTGTATGGGGCACGATGGGCACGCAGCCATGGGTTCTGGAGACACTCGGCTGCAGTGGGCCTCCCCCTACAAAGTTAAGTTTGATCATAATTTATGTTCCTAATTCACAAAGACATCTTTCCACACAGGTACTCTTCAATTTGGTTTACATAAGAGGAATGAGAACTTGAATACGTATGTTTAGTACAGTTGCACTAATGCAGACTACATTTTAAGAGAGACACTCACCAGGATTTGTTATTCAGGCTGCTCTTCATGAAGGTTAAGGCTCCTTCTGACAGACCAGGGTAACAGCGTCCAAACTGAATCTTCCCTTTTTTGATGTTTCGGTCTTGCTCCCAGCTTAGCTCTGCATGGAACGGGCTGTCGGCGCTCAACCTGGTGGATGAAGGGAAAATGCAAAAATACAAACAGTATATATTACTAAATTAGTTCATAATTGAGAATCTTCTCTGACGATTAGGTCAGAAGCATTGATAACATTTCATGATCCAAGGACTTAAACTACTTGTAAGTGGTGTGGACTGAGCTAAACAGCCTACATATTTAAAACTTACACAATGAAAAAGAAAACGATGATTCAATCTTTAGAGCTGCTAATCTGACATCCAATGATACCTGCCATTCTTTGCATTTGAAACATTTTTTTGCAGAAGTGAGAGCCACATTTATCAAATCACAAATATATAATTTTAAAAATTGTAAAGTAGTAAGAATCCAGTGAAACATGGCTGAATACTTTCTTTAAAAAAAACCTTTATCAACTATTTCACCTGTATATATCTGTACTTACATGATAAATGACAGAACTCCAATAGCCCAAACGTCAGTTTCAGGCCCGACTCCCTGACCCTCCAGGATTTCCGGAGCTTTAGGAAGGACAATATAAACTGACAAAACAGACAGACACAGGACATTCATCTTAAAGAGTTGTGCGGTTACTGTTAAATGCCACAATCACTCTCATGCTTTATATTCTGAATTAGGAAAAATGACTAGAAATGGACTTGAGTTTGTTAGGCTATGGTAGCAAGGATCAGCTGAAGTGGATGAAGTTAGGCTGAATTATTTCCATCCATCAATCCGTCCTCCCTTAAATAATGTGTACCTTTGCTGCGGCAGTCTGTTGAAGGCCATGACAGTCAAAGGTTTAGTACATTAGAAGAGTGTACAACAATGCAAGCATCAAAATCTTTTAGTATGCCTTTTGAAAAGGGAACAAGAAACACATCAGTACCTTTGCTCTCCGACAGGCCCTGAATGTGCTCGATGTTGAGAGGCTGGCCAGGTGTAAAGGACTGAGCCGAGCCCAAGTCAACTATCTTCAGGTGGTTACAATCATCCACCAGCATGTTGTCAGATTTCAGGTCCAGGTGGATGACTCGACGGCTGTGAAGGTAGTCGACTGCACTCAGAATCTGAACCAGCAGCTCTGCAACATGAGTCTCTGCATACAGATCTCTGTGAGGGCACAAACACAGACAGACAGTATGTGACGGACTGCAACACATGGCTACAGGTTGCACAAAAATAACCTTTGTGACACAGGTCTGAAAGAGGATATAGATAATAATAATTAAAATTATAATATTATATTGATTAGTTACAGTAAGTGTCCATTTAGCACATCTTGGTCATCTGCAATTTGCGCTTAGTTTGATTTGTTTAAAAATAGTCCATTAGATGACATCAAATAATTCTCTAACACCAGCATGGCAGAAAGTTTGAGAGCTTTGGCCTGTTGGCCCTAATTAGAACAGCATTTCTCATAGGAAATCTGCTGCTTATTTTAGTATTTAGTCTTCTTAGACCAACTACAGCATCTTATTTTAGAATCATATAGTGATCAGTTTTGCCTGGATTATTCCTCCTAAAGGCCTCTTCGGACAAAATAAGTAGACATTTTTACCTATGCTGACACTAGACCAGAGGACTGGGACTTACCACAGTCATTAGGAGATCATACTCCTAAAACCAATAATATCTAGACAAAATTTTATGACATGGCCAGCTATCTTGCTCAGTGTTTGACAAACAAACCCACCCACCTACCAACTCACATCCAGTAGCAAAAAAATATAAAAAATGCATAACACAGTACAGATGATGAGAATAGAATAAACATTTTTCTTTAAATATCACTGCATTTTTCTCCAATTTTCCCTCTGTGTATAAATCCATACACAAACAATGTGGTCCTTCCTTTACCTTGCTGCCAAACTGTAGAGCAGCTCCTTGCCAGGACAGAGCTCCTCCACTAACACTAGGTAGTGAGGGGTGATGTAGGCCGTGTGCAGCTGCACCAGGTGGGGGTGATGAAGCCGTTTCAGCAGCTGGTATTCCCTCAGCACCAACTGTCTCTGCTCTGCCTGGTAAGGGGTGATCTTGGCAGCAAACACTTGGCTGGTCTCAACATCCCTGCACAGGGTTACTACGCTGAAGCGACCCCTGAGAAAGAAGGAAACAAAAGGTGAAGAGGTACAGAGAAAGACTGTACTGTATTGGTTTCTATAAGAAAGTGGGAGGAACAAGATTATCCTTTTCCTGATGCATGATGGAACTGGTCCTAAGATTTCGATTAAGCAGGTAAAGAATGGATGATGGTCTACATGCAACTGAATTGTTGAATGTAATATCAGCACTAAATATCAGGTTCAATTCAGAAACATTAGAATCTGTGACAGACTTTATAAACCTGAAAGGTCTACATAAAAACAATATCAAGTGCAAATGCTACAGTCAATTAAAAAACAAAACATTTATTTTGATCATTACGAACAAAAGAGAAGTTACAAATAGTTTTGCTGAAAAAAATGCAGCTTCTACATAAAAATCCCACCGGTTGATCTCAGAGAGGAAACTGTAGTTCTTGTGTGTTCTTGTGTGTCGTTCTGACCCAATGACCTTTGACCCCAGTGACTCAGTCTGGATGAGAGGAATGTGAGTCTCTGTACAAGAGAGTAAATATAAGTGAAAACACTACAACCCTCAATGTAAAACTGTTTGTACAAAGCACAGTGCATTTGTACACACCAGACCAGTGAGTCAAATGCCTGCTATTTAGAAAGCCTGGTCTCAGATAAAGAACTGTAAAACATTTGATGCATCATCATGTTTCAGAGTATTTTTATTGCCTTCAGGATGGGTAGCCATAACAACAGGTGCTGACGCATCACTGAAAGGTCCTGCTCCTGTTTTGGTGATGCAGCCCATCCTGAACACATAAGAAGCTCCTCTGGGTAAATCCTTCACCACATAGCAGCTATCTGTCACCTCCTCTGACAGGACCGTCCATTCCCCACCTGAGGAGGCACACGACACTGTGAAATCTGCACTTGTTGCACATTTTAATACTCCTGCAGAAGACTGAAGCAACAGTGATATTAGTGATAATGTAACAAAGAAAATAAAATTATTGTTGAGGTCAATTTGAAAGTAAAAAAGAAGCACACAGCATTGACTTATGACATACTGGAAAGAAAAAAACAGATAAACTCTGTTTGTCTTCAAATATACTGGAATATGGAAATAAATTACATTTTATATTTTAGTAATTGGAACTTTCACATTTGTCTAACATAAACAATGAATTTGGTTTCCTTTAAATCAAAACCACCTATGTAATTTCTGTGCTGATGTATCATCTCTATCAACCCACCATCTGTACAGTACTGCACACAGTAGGTGACAGGGTCACTAGACTGGACTGGTCTCCAAACCAGCAGGACTCCACCTCCATCTAACTGGAGCACTTCAGCCTTGTTGGGACGGACGGGCAGATCTGAAAATTATGGAGGGGAACAAACGTACACAACCAGGCTTATAGCAAAATGATGACGGCAGGATTTTGGACTGGAAACAAAATCCACACAATGTAGCTTCTTCACTACCTTTTGTCTTTTTGAATGCAGGTATTTTAAAAGAAGGCAACAGTTTGGAGGTCCTCTTTTTTGGACTCTCAAGACCAGTGCTACACTGCCTTTTAGGTGGGACAGGAGCTGATCCTTTTACTATTGGCCCTGTTATAAAAGACAACCAACACCAAAAGGGAAAAAACACTGGACTGGATAAAATTGACAAATGCACAGTGTAGATGTACAAAATAACATAACAGAGACAAAGGTAAATTAAAATAAAGATAATGCCCTTATCCTTCTGTCAACATTTAGCTGTATCATTAATATGGATGCTATAATGATTAAATAAAATTTGCTTAATTTACAATAGCTCACCTCCTTTACTCACGTCTTCCTTACTAGAAGACCTGGAAAACAGTTTGGTCAGGCTGGAGGCTGAAGCTCTCATTTTCTTCCGCAGAGACATGGTGGGAGTATCTGGCTTCATGATCTCCCCTAGTGTGGGTCCTAACTCTGTGTTCTCCAGCTGGGAGTATGAATGGCCAGTCCAGGACTGCCTGCGGAAGATCTTTAGCAGTCCCAGCTTGGGTGACTTTCCTGTAGGTGGCCGGGCTTCAAGGGCTGGAGCGGATGCATGCCTCTGGAGGCCATGGCCCTCCTTCTTGTCCCTGGCCCTGGGAGGCCTCTGTGGAGCCTGGAGAGAAGAGAGGCTGGGACTAGGGCTCGCCATCAGTGGGATCCCCGGCTGACCTCTGCTGTTTGTAGATAAGTTGGGGTTGGAGCGGGTGCGGTTACGTGGCGGTGCCTGGGGATAGCTTCTGGGTTTAACTTCTTGGAAAGAGCATGGGGATGGTAAAATCAGAGGCTCCCCCTGATCATCATACTCTTCACTCTCTCCTGACCTGTATCTTCCTCTGCGATGACTACGGCTCAACTCCTCGCAGGAGCCGAGTCTACTTGAAGACTCAGAGCCCCCATGCTCCAAAATAGACGACTCAGCCAGAGACCCCTGGGAGCCAATAAAGTTGTCGCCCTCTGTCTGCTCCTGATCCGGCCTGGTGCTCGTTCTGTCTCCAGCAAGGAGTCTTGAAGTAACAGTTGATCCAACCATACAAGTCCCTTGTATTGGAGAGACAGAACCTCTTCTTTTTGTGGGTTGCCGAGGGCTTGGGATGGCCAACAAGTTTCTCCCTGCTACTTCATCATCTGTGAAATCTTCCTTCAAACTTTGAGAGCCTTCTTCTTCACCCGACCTTGTGCGCTTGGGTGAGCTGGGAGAACGTCGATAATTCTCATCAAGAGACCTGCTCCTCCTGTGAGGGGGTACGTTGGTGTGGGCGAGGCCAACACCACTGTCAAAGGAACAAGACTTCTGCATTGTAGGATGGATAGATGCCCGTCTCTGGCCACGATTAGTCTCCGTCTCATCCTCCACATATTCAATTAGAGGCTCGTTGAGACGTCCTGAAAAGCTTCTCCGGAGTGGTTTGCGGCCTCTCTCCTGCTTTTTGGCATGGAATTTGTCCCGTAATGTCATGTGTCTGGCAGACATGGGTGACAGCTGATGAGAGGTGCTGTAGAAAGTGCTTCGGATGACGCTGCCACGAGGGATACGACCTCCGTCACTACCTGAACCCTCATCCCCATCAGATAAGTAGAGAGACGGACTACTGTCTTTGCTGAACCTACGCTCCCTCTGAGGTGTCTGTTGGCACGACGCATCTGACGCAACTGACGCAACTGACTGCCTGCTCATACTCCGCTCTAGTACACTCCTCCTTCCTACTAAATCCCCATCCTCTTCCTCGCCTAATGTCACTTCGTCTTCCTCCTCTGCACCTAGGTGGAGTTTGGCAAAAGGCTGGGGGATCTGCGCTCTCTCCGTTAATGGATCAAAGTCCTCTTCTGTTTCTTCCTCCTCCTCAGTCGGGCTGCAGTGCTGGAAAAAGTCCCAAGAGTCAGCTTCATCATACTCAGACGAGGAGCCACTGCTCAGAGAAGTGCTGCTGTGCTCCTGCGGCTCGCGGGGCACTGTCACTGCAGTGTCTCTGAGAGGAGCATCCAGCAACTCGGGGATGGGCCTCAATGTGAGAACTGACCCAATGCAAGTCAAAGAACGCTAAAAAAGATAGATGGGAAAGATATTGGTGAAGACAGATATTAACATTGTGTTTTCCTCTATGTAAAAGCTATGACCGTCTGTGAATTCCACTCATGAAACTTCAAGTGTATCAACATTACAAGAATCCAGTATTTTTTTCACCAGAGGCTGTGGTTTCAATAAATAACACCACCAAAGAGAGGTAACCCACCTGCCATTTCCTTTTTGAGATCAAGACTTTTAAACACTTTGTGTTGATTTCATCAGTATCTTCTCCTGCATGCTCGTCCTGAACACAGTTACAAACATTTGTGCATTTAGATGTGTGCCTAAGGAACAGTGGTACAGTATGTTTTTGAATACATACATTGAAGCATGATTAAAACACCTATTGTGCTGTATTTCCTCTCACCTGGAACCATTCGTGGCTCAAGCACTCAAAGGCAGACGGTCGCTTCCTAGGTAGAGGAAAATTGGGAGTGGTCAGATGTGTCCTATGTTGCACCTGACAACACTAAATAGTGTTGAAAACACTATATAGTGTTGTCAGGGTGAACGGTCCGTATTTTTATCAACACTATATCTAATGACTGTCTTTATTGTTAAATGAGTCCTAGCAGAGCAACAAAAAATAATCAGCCTGCCTAGTTAATGTAGTTTTATGTAGCTGTCAGACACTTTTCAATCCACTGTGTGTGTTTTGACCGTTTTTGGTTGAGCACTACAAGATCTCACTTTTGATCACTTTCACCTAGGAATACATACAATATTTTTTTTTTTGCATTTTGGGTTATGTTTGATTCGTGGAATCAGAAATAGCGCTGATGCAAAGAGACTCCTTAAAAGAAATTCGATTCAATTCGATGACTTTACAATTTTGTTTGTGACTGGATTGATGTGGCACTGTAGGCAATAACAAAACAGGTTCCCTACTCTGGATCAGGCTGAAGGAGCATGTGGAGAAAGTTCTGGGCCTCAGGGCTCCTGTACGTGACATCAGGGGCTTCCCAGTTCAGGGTCCCTTCTCCCACTCTCAGCAGTGTAGCACGGTCCGTCTCACCCACAAAAGGGCATCGGCACACCAGACTGTCAATGAAAAAATGAATGGTGATGTAAATAGTAACTCGGGAGTTACATGCACTGCTTTTTGATATATGGTATATTGAAGATTGAGAATATTATAAAAAGTGCAGTGATACATACCATATATAGGCTATAACACCTACAGACCTGAGAAAATAAAGATATGATGATGTCTTATTATGTTCTGTAATTTACATTTATTTTGCAAATAATTTTTAGGCTTTATTTAAATGTCCTTGTAATACTAGAAAGAAAGTCTACAGCATCTGGAATTTCATCAGAGAAATATATTGTACATAATACAATACAGCAAAAATAGAAAAGTTATTTGCAAATACTATTTGATGCAGTGTCAGTTAACCATAACACAAGTTAAACTCACCAGATATCAGCAGCCACGGTCACTGGTTCTTGGTGAACAATCTCAGGGGCAACAAACTCCGGTGTACCAATCATGCTGTATTGGTGTCGGGATGTGTCCATTTCTTGGCAGAAGCCAAAGTCACAGATCTTGATCTCATCTCTGGGCGGATACACCATTAGGATATTATCAGGCTGAAGGGATTATAAATAAAAATAGAGTTAAGAACTGCATAATAAATAATGACACAGTCAATCATGTGATGTTGATTGGACCGGAAATCTTACTTTAATGTCCAGATGCAAAATGTTCATGCTGTGAATGTGACCAACTCCTTCAAGGATTTGCTGGATATATGACTGAACCTGAAATAAAATGCTGAATATTAGCTAAGAGCCATATATATTATTTGCAAGAAAAGATTATTTTGTGGAGAATAAATGTAAGCTTGAACCTCTTTCTCTGAGACTGATCCTTTCAGTAATAAATGGTCCAGAAGTCCATGGGAACAGCACCTAGAAATTATGTTAAAGAATTCTTAACTGAATACAAATCAATATCAAAAAACTTAACCCACTGCGAAAAAAAGGAGTGATCATATTGTAACATTTAACAGAGAGGATACATTTCTGTGATCAGCACCAGAGTGCGTCTGGTGCAAAAGAAGTCCAGCAGACAGGCCACTCTGGGGTGAGCCAGGCGGGACAGCAAATCCCTTTCCTGGAAGGCCCTGGTCCGAGTGCTGCTCCGCAGAGGCAGAAACTTGGCAGCAAAAACTTCACCTGTCCTCCTGTGGACGACACGCTTTACCACCCCAAAGGTTCCCCTAAAACACAGAGAGAAGATGTTGAATACATCAAATCTTAAGAGGGCTCATGGGCAGGTTGGACTACATCAATATAAAGTACAGGTTCACCTTCCTATTTCCTCATGGACATCATAGACAGAGAATAACTTCCTTCTCTTCCCCAGCTCCACTTCTCTCTCCTGACGCTCGAGTGGCCCTGCAGGGAAAACAAAACCTGTGAAAAACACAACCGCTTGGACAGACATCAATCACAATATATTACTTACCTTCCTTACATCAATATAATTTTGTGACATGCTTTATGCTTACGTCACATTAGCCTTTCGTACTGTTTGTTTTGCAGTTGCATCTGATTAATTATGATAATGTTTTAAATATGCTAAAAAACTGATGCATGGCAGCATTGCTGTTGTCTCACCTTCCTCCACTGTCAGCTCAGCCTGACATGAAGCATGGCCAGAGTCATTGTAGGCGAAGCAGGTGTATATGCCACTGTCCTCACCCTCAGGGCACACTATGGTCACTGAGCAGCGGGCACCATGCTGTACTATCTTCACATTCTCATTAGCTGCAAGCACTTCTCCATCCTCCAATCACAGAAGAAAGAGTAATGTTTAAAAGGGACAGGTCTACAAATTCTTTTTGTGACCCTTAAAACAATGTAATGCCCTCATGTGATGTGTGACAAAGTGAACATTTAACCCTAAAATTCTGAGAGGAGGCAATTTGAGTATAACCTATTTAGTAATTCCCAAGAAAAAAACATTTACTAGAAAGAAAAAATAAAAAAATGAATTTTTTCTGTGATATTTATGGTATCCATTTTGGTATGTTTCCCTGGATAAATATAGGTAAATAAAAATAGCATATATTAAAGTAACTTTTATGGTAGGAATATATTTTTTCCATCCCGTTAATCATGTTACATCCCAGGATCTACAGGGTCCTACCTTGTACCACTGTATCTTAGGAGTAGGTCTTCCTGTGATGATGGCAGTAAATGTAACTGGTTGGCCAGGTTCTACACACAGGTCCTCAGCGGGGACCTGGATGGAGGGAGGAGCTGAACAGAAGATCAGATCAGTTAGTGATGTATCAAAGTCTGATAGTAGTCATATTATGTTTAAGAGACAAGAATACCATCTGTAATTTCCTGCATTGACTCTGAGATATAGATTTCTTCCTCTTCATCCTCTAGGTAACACACAGGTTGCTGTGCCACCTGATCCACGGCAGGATCAGCTTTTTCTGTACTACATTCAGCTCTGGAGACAAAAATAATGTCATTATAAATATTACTGATGACTCCAGGGAAATAACTGTTTTTACTTTACAGAAGATTGACATATTGACTTGTTTACCATTCAGTTCTAGGCTCACAACTGTAAAACTAACTATTGAATCGAGACTTTTACCAACCTCAGAAAGAAATTTTTGAGGCTGATGCCTATTTACATCAAAGGAAGGGAAGGAAGGTCAATACAGCAATATGGTAATAAACTTACTGTTCAGGGTGTCCAGAAGGGAAGAGCATTTTCGCAATAGAGGTGGGGTTGAAATCAGTCTGTAGCCATTTCTTCACAAAGGCAGTGGACCAGCCCTCTGAGTCTGCATCTATGAAAATCAAAATGCCACTCAGCGGGAATCTATGGATCAGACACTTTAAGTAAGGAAAATATATTTTGAGGAATTATCATGTTGCATTGACTTAAGTATAAATATACTGAATTATTGGAAAAGTAAAGAGTACATTACCTTACATACCGGGTACAGTAATAATGCATTTCTTACCTCTGTACTTGAGGGTTTAACCCCAATAACCCAAAACACCAACAGAACATGGGCGTATGCCCACTCCTGCATGGGGGTTAAGGGGACACCTGCCCAGCACATGACCATCTTGTATTCGTAGGAGTGAAGAGTTAGCTGGACATGCGTTGGCAAGAGGAGAAAGGGGAATGTCGAGTGGTTATTTGTTATCATGACAATGATGACTTACATGGAACGGTCCATGTGAGGAACCTCCTGCTTTTGGACTAGTAAAGGGAAGATGGAAAAACATGTAGGTTATGGACAATGGAAGGGCAAACATGGTGAACTGATGTCAAAAATCCAGAAGAAAAAATATATATAATAAATAAAAAAATATATATATATATATATATATACATACACACATGAGTGAGACAACTTTTAGAGGGATATAAAAATATTGTATTTAAAATCATCAGTATCTAATAATTCTACTGAATTTGGCGGAACTCTATTCTACTCCATTATATTACTTTTATTGCTGATCCTATGTGATAGAAACAGTGGTAATGTATAGATACTAGCACAAAATCTACTTGCTATCTCTGTGTTTAAATTACTAGTTTATGGCACCTTAAGGTTCAGCTGACTTGTCAGTCTAATGGAAGAAAGTGATCCAACCCATGCCATCTGTGGAAAGTCGAAACATGATGAAAAACACAAAAACATTCCATACGATAAATGTTTCAATGGCTTTTCATGGTGAAGATGCTGGGAAGTGCACTATGTTGTCTATGTTGAATGGTAGCCACTAGATCCCACTGGGTTATGGCATTAGAAGATTGTTAGAAATAGTTATTGTTAGGTATTAAGTTTAATGGTTTTTTTCACATGACTGTGGCTACTATGTGACCTTAACAACTCTCAATGTGTGAATTACACACAGAAGTTAAAGTAGTGGTGGGACTCACCACTAGTCAGATGAACAGATGAAGTGGGTGGTGAAACAATTGTTAGATAATGATATTAGGGTTTAATGTGGCTAAAGTCATTGTAGCATTTTTTAAGTTAAACATGCAGTGTGGAACATTTGTTCCCCGCTTCTGACACTGAAAGTAATTATACAACATTGTCAATGAGTGCTTATGTCATATAGGCTCTGCCATACTCCTAGTTGTGGTCGCCTACTCCATAGCTACAGTTGCTCCCCCCTTCAGCTCTGGTAAACCAACCATTGCTGGCTGCCACAAAACACATCATTAGTGGTTTGCCAGCACCAGATTGTCATCATAGATACCAGATTTAAAAACTCTGAATACAGAGAGATTTACCTGGTGGTGATTAAAGGTTTAATAGGAATTGCGTATACTCCTTTGACAAGGGCTTGAATGCAACAGACGAAAAAGTCCCACAGCCTAGCTTTGGCAACCTAGACAATCAACCAATTTAACTCAGATGGCAATATTAGAAATGGACAAATGAGAAGTGGAAAAAACATGTGTTGGGGTGCTTTTCACTCATGCATATCACCATATCATACAGTTAATAGCTGTGAATCCACTTTTTCTGTACTGTGCAGATGGGAACTGCTCATTCTTATGTTTCATCTTTTCTGCATTCATGCATAGACTGCAGTCCATGCCATAATCCCTGGGGATCTAGTGACAACTGTTATGGCAGCTGGAACTTATGATGTAAAAGGTGTGTGAACGGGGGGAAAAGGAAAATGTGAGTAAAATCTCAAAATGGTATCAACTGGATAGAATGGGTGCATGGTAGTTGTTGAAAGTGTAAATCTATGCAAATTGTTGCAGTTTGTTGGAAAGTGAAGAGATGTCATATGATGTGATGCAAAGACAGGATCAGAAGTGAGGTGAACTGAAGTGAAACTGGTCAATGGCATGTGCTCCATCCCTTCTCAAACACAGCGGAACTAGTTAAAGTGTGGAGCATCCACATGAAAACCCTGTCCCGCGTTTCCATCCTATGTGGTGGATATTTACCTTCAGTGGCTCTGGCTGTCCTACCTTTAGCAAGTAAGTCCTGTGGTTGGTCGTTCTGGATGTCAATCGGCGGTACATAAGCAGGGCACAGCCCTGCCTTGCACTTGACACAGCCAAACTCATTCCACAGCTAAAATACACAAAACATTTGACATACTGTATCTAAAAGGAAGCACTCTGAATTCAATGAATCTGACTATCTTTATACATTGTAGACTTTATGCAGCTGGATTTGATACCTCACACTCATACTGTCCAATATCTGCCTCTGTGGCATGGATGACCGTCAGACACAAGATTCCACTCCGAGCATCATTTAGGGTTATGTATTTTTGCTGGTCAGCCAACTCTCTTCCATCTTTCAACCACCTGCAAAACCCAAAGATGGATGTGTTTGACAGACATAATGGCTAAAATACCACATAGCAACTACTGTGGTTACATTTGCTCTGTGTTGCCATACCTGATTCGTGGTAAAGGAGTAGTAAGTGTGGAGCAGCTAAACTGTATATCCTCTCCTTCTATCAGACAAGCACTCTCCAACCGACACACAAATCTGGGTGGAGCTGGAGAGAAGAAATACATTAATGTCTCATTTGTGCCCCTATAATCAGAAATACACCAATAATGTCAGTTATAGTACTAGTCATTACTTATAACAGTAATAATAGTAGCAGATGTAGTAGTACTATTAGATCTAATAGAAGTAGCAGTCACAATAGTAAATGTAACAGCAGTGGTAGCAATAGTAGTAGTGATTGAACAGTAACTGTAATGATATTGTAACTGTATATATAATGTAATGATAGTAGTATTATCTGTAGTAGGTAGAAGTAATTCTAGTATTAGAAACCACAGTTTTAGTTATAGTAGCAACAACAGTAGTAAGTGTGACAGCTGTAATCACAGTAGTACTACTAGTGGTACAAGTTTAGTAATAGTTGCAGACATAGTGGAACTTGCATTGGCAATAGTAATTGTCAAGTTGTAACTGTAATTGTGATAGTAGTAGTAGTAGTAGCACTATAGCACTAGCAATAACAACATAGTAGTGTTTCTAGCAGTAGTAATAGTATTGATAATCGTCATAGTACTGATATGAGGAAGTAGTAGTCATTATATTATAGCTGTCCTCTGTGTTCCTCTGTGACAGTGCGTGTACCTGCAGACAGAGATATGAAGTAACACAACAAACCCAAGTGGTTTAGATGCATCCATAGACTCACCCTGCACCACAATCTTGGCGAGAGTACCAGCACTGCCCATGGAGCTGTTAGCATAGCAAGCATACTGTCCAGAGTCCTCTGCAGTGAGGCTGTCCAGGATGAGACTGCAGGTGCCTGACCGGTCTTCTGTGATGATGTGACGGGGGTCATCCTCTAAAGGAAGGCCGTCTAAGAGGTGGACATCAGATTTTTGCTATGAAAACCATCATTGTAACCAAACCATGCAGTGCTTGAAAAAATATGGTGGGTAATAACAGCTTCTTGTAACAGATTGTAAGACTATGGTACAATGTGTACATATTTTAATAAAGTTATTTATGACCTTTGAGCCAGCTGACCACTGGTTTTGGCGATCCTGCGACCTTACAGGTCAGTTTGATTGTCTGTCCTATCTTTGTTGTGAAGTCAGACAACAGTGACTCAAACACAGGTGGGCCTGTTGATAAACACAAATACAGAATTCACTCACTAGGGATTTCATTAAAACATAAGCCATATCATTTCCATAAAAAAGGTTTGCCCCTCAACAACTACGAGAAACACACGACAAAGCCGGGGAGGCTGCGGCTCAGGATGAGCAGTTGCTCACTTATCAAAGGGTCAGTGGTTCAATCCCCAGCTCCCCTAGTCTGCATGTCAAAGTATCCATGGGCAAGAATCTGAACCCCAAATTGCTCCTGATGTCGGTTTCATCAGTGTGTGTGGATGCGTATGAATGTATTTCTGTTTATGATGGCAGTTTGCACTATGCCATTCAATGTGTGAATGTGATGTGGTGTGAAAGCGCTTTGAGTGGTCGGAAAGACTAGAAAGGCGATATACAAGTACAGACCATTTACTAAATAAACCTATAGTCCACATGATACAACAGCTAGAGCCCATCCTTTAGCTACCATTGTAATTTTAAGAATAGAACACAGTGATTGAAAATAGATGGGAAAAGATTTGATAGTTTTATGATTAATTATCAAAATCTACCTGGAAATTACTTCCCCTCCCAAAGAAACACTTACTGTTAGTGGGCAGGCTGGAACGTTGCTGTAACTCCTTCAGGTCCTTGAGCCAGGAGAGCTTAACCAGGGAGGAGCGGCCCTGCAGTGTGTACCTCCGCAATGAGCCCCTGTGCTCATGCCACAACCCCCAAGACTTTTCATCTCCACCCACAGTTTCCTTTATTTCCACATCATTCAGCTGTGTAGGTTGCAAAAGTGAGAATGAGAAAGACGAATGAGTGGGAAGATGAGGTCAAGAGTTGGAAAAAGCTTTGAGTGTACACTGAATTACAGGATTCATCATCACATGTGGCCAAATGTGGTGTTAGGCGGTTTATTTTTTTTATAGCTTCACCTACTGTAGGAAAGTAGAATAAGGGAGAAAGCAGGAGAATAGATCTTACCTTCATTTTGTTCTTGAAGGTGTAGCTGTCACTGTTCACACTGGTGTCTTTTTTCAGTTTACACAGTACAATACATTCCTTGAAGAGAAAAACTTGTCTCTGATGCCCTCTAGAGGTCGTCCTAATATCTGGAGATTCCTCCCACACTGAGAAGACTCCCTGAAGGGAAGTTGGTAAGTGAGGACCATGCAGTATTATGACCAAATGTGACTGGATATCTTTTTATCATCTTTTTACAAAGTGACTCAGCACAAATAAAAACCTTCACACTAGTCACTAGCTGTGACAATAACTAAAAACTATTAATGGTGTTGAAGTTTTTACATTCATATTGGACCCAGAGCCTATCCTAGATATAAAACCATGTCAGTTATCTGTTTTACCTGTCGTACGGGCTCGCCCAGGGCAGTTAGAGGAGCTGGGAAGTTCTCAATGAGGGACACCTGGTGCAGGTTGTCAGACCTCCAGGGTAGACAGGACACTATGGAGAAGGCGTCCTCCAAAAGACAGCAGCTCTGGCCACTTTTGGCTTTGTTCTTGATTAACTCCTGCCAACAAAGTAAATATTTACTACCCATGCATTCAACTGACACAAATTCATAGGGGAACTACAATTTGTGCAATAGCAGAAAAAACTTCAGTTCTAGTGTTGAATTGAAATAAATATCCAATATGCAAATATACCAAATTCTCTACAATAATGCAGTTTAATGGAGGAAACAAGAAAACATATACTATTCAGTGTAATGGATGTAAGACATTACCACAATCACATTGACATTAAAGATGAAGGTTTCACACATACATATTTGTAAAAATAAAACTGTATGCTGACCTTCAGTAAAGCATGGTAGGTTTGAATCCTCTCCACTGGTTGCTGGAGGAAAGTAAGGACATCCATGACAGGAGCCTCAGGCTTACCAGCTTCTGTTAACTCCTGAAGTGTAATGAGCAACATAAGAACTTTAGACAAATTAGATCAGTGTCATAATGTTGGTAGTCAGCACCTTAGTTTCCACAAGGTTCATGTTAAATGTTCATATTTAAATCCAAACAGATGTTGTGAATACTTTGAAATACTGTTGGATAGCCTTGTCCGTGACGCAGGCCTCTGCTTGTGCTTGTCCCACCATGTAGTGAAGATACTTCTCAAATTCCTCAGTGTGCTTGATCAGATGCATGGCCACATCGTCGTCTGTGGCACACTCTCTCAGACCGGGAAGGATGGACCTGAAAAGACAGGTCATCATACAGAAAGCTGGCCATGCAAAGCTCAAGCTCTATATGAGCATACAATCAAAATAAAGAAGAGGCACAAATGGTGAATAAGAGAAAAAGAAACAAACCTCTATGGTGTGAATTTGGACGCACACACAGTTAACTTTTGACGTCTGAATGTAGATTTTGTTTTGGTAACATGGTTTGATAATTATGTGCTATTTATTTGCTGCAACACATTTCGTGTGTGTGTGTATTACCTCTCATGCAGAAACACAATGTCCTTGATATTTCTGAAAATGATCTCTTTCTGGTTGAGGATGCTAATGGGAACGTGACGACTGGAGTCCAGATAATTTAGCTGGTGAGAGGTAAACATCTTCATCTCCTTTACAAACTCCTCCTCTCCATTAATCAGGCCTTGGATCAGTTGGCTAAAGATAAAAGAAATGTAATACAGATTGGAAGTGAGGCAGCTGTATTTGTTTTTAACTGTCCACATGAGATTTATTGTTAGAACAAATCAATTCTCCATCATCACAAAAGCCAAGGTATCAAGATGCTGCAAGGCATAAGTGCAAGTAACAACGAAATAGTAGAAACAATAAGAAGCATCAATAAAATTGTCCAATAAATATAATTATCCAAATACATACATAAAATAACAATGAATATAAATCCAAATAATAGCACCCAGTAACGTTCCTCCCAGTTTGTTTAACCTGTCACTATATAATTGCAGAATAACAGACCTCAGAGCTCTCCTGTACTCTTCTACTGTAGATCCAATTCCATCAAGATCCTCTTGAGGTGCTCTCAATTGTGGGAAAATCTCCTGTTCAAAAGACCATCATGTGTTATTAAAAGCCTTTTCCATTACTTGATGAAATTACTGTCTCTGCTGACAGCACAATATTGCAAACCAATGGTATATAATTAATGTTTCAGAATTTAACAGGTTTACTCAGTTCTGTCCAGCATACCTTCCTCTTCTTCTCCAGGTAGGCTGGACACACCCATCCCTGTCGAGCAGGGTTGGTTTTGGTGGGTTTGGTCCTCACCAGCCATCTGTCAGGATGGACAGAATCCAGGACCTCTACAAATTGGCCCTCCTTCAGAACAAAGCTGTCCTTATTTCCGCTGTTAGGACTGCAATCAGCTCGGGCCACATACATTTCAAATGTCTGAGGTGAAACAAGCAAATATGACATAATTTCAGGTTTTTACAATCAAATGGGCAATTTTACTTTTTCAGATTGTTTCCAAATCACACATCACAGCTATTACATTAATGTTTAGAGAGCACAACATATATACAGTGCATTTATTCAAGATGAAACAAAATATAAAAAGTACCTCTTGTCTATCCTCTTCCCCTTCTGACTCTGATCCAGAAACAGTACTAGTTAAGGGTGTCTGAGCACGGTGGTGTTTAGGAGATGGTGTCCTCAGTCTGCCTTCATGAGTCCCTACAGATTAGAGAGGAAGATAGCTATGATGTATAGGAAACTAGTGGGTACTAATGTAGGTGTGAAAAACGATTAAAAACAGCAACAAAAGAAATCATCATCGCTAACCTTTGACCTTTAGTAGTTTCTTAGGAGGTAGGAAAGGAGCTATCTGTTCTTTGTCATCCTTTGGAGGCAGTTGGTCTGCTGCTTTTGTCACTTCCCTGTAACAGTATTCATAAATATTTTGGGTTTCTTTATGAGCATAATATGTAATATTACCAATAAAATCGGCACAACAAAACTAATCTTCTCTCTGCCCTCTGACCTCGGTACAGTTGGGGTAGTATCAACAGTTTCCATTATATCCGGAGCTGTGTCATAATCAGAGGGACTTGACACTGTTGAAGGCAGAAAATCATAAGTACTATATATACATAAATATATGTATATAAAATCTCTATCTTTGTGATTACAGTTTAAGAATAAAAGTGTTACTTACTGGAGCTGGCAGCAATGAGTGAGGATCCTCTCCTCTCTTGCAGGCTCATCTGAGTGTCCTGTTGCTCCGTCAGGTTATAAGCCTCCCACAGAGAGATACTCTTACTCTCTACATAGTTCGCAGCAGCTGTAGCTGAGGTGGGTATCTGGGTCTGAGACTGAGGCAGATTCTGAGTCTGTATTTGGGCCTGGGCCTCAGGCTTAGGTGGGGCAAGTTGCAGAGGAGTTATCGCTGCAAGGGGTGGGTGTAGAGGCTTTTGAACAGTCGGAGCAGGCTTCTGAGGCTGTACTACTGTTATGTTACCATTGTAGGAGGTCACACCAAACTTATTCACCACCTCACATGTATAGATTCCACTATCATTGGTGGTCAGATTTTTGATCACCAGTGTGCATGCGCCATTCTCTGAAGTCTCAATACGGCACCGCTGATGATTAGTGATTTGTTGGCCGTTTTTCAGCCAGCGCACTATGCTGGGTTTCCCTTCTACAATGCACACTAGAGTGACTGTGCCATGAAGATCTGCACTCTGGTTCTTAAACACCTCTTTAAAGACAGGTCGCATGTCTTTGCGGGTTTTGTAGCCTTTGAAGGCGGCCTGAATCTTGACCGCAGCCTCTTGCAGTTGGGGTTCATCGTCAATGCTGACGTCAATCTCTGGTGTAGCATCCTTTGTTGGTTGTGCCTTCTGGGGTACATCAAGTGCAGCAAGAGGGGAGGGTTCGCTCGAACTCTTAATAAAAGAGACAGGGGGCCGGACATTCCTGTGGTTCGCTGGTATCTCAGTCAAAGCCTCTGAGAAAGTCTCATCTTCTGAAATGTAGAGGAGAGGAATGCCTTCTGTCATCTTTGTTGTTTGTTGTTCTTCCTCCCTTCTCACTGGCTCAACTGCCAGTTTAATTTCCGGGTCCACTCCTTTTTTCATGGGTTTTACTGGTTGTTTGATTGGCTGTTTGGTGCTTGCATCCTTCTCTGCAGTTTTCCGAGGTTGCTTAATTTTCTCAGCTATCTCAGTGTCTGCTGTTACTGATTGTTTCCTCTCACATCTTGGTTTCTCTTCAACCTCTTTTTTCAAAGACTCTATTGACTGTTCAATTGGCTGACCATCCATTGTTTTCACCACAACTGTTGTCATGTGTTGATCATCCTGATCTGCCTCTGTGTCCCTTGAACATTGTTTTTCTATCCCCCCCTTTGCTTTGCTTTTTATCCTCACAGGTGGTTTTGGAGGAGCAAATTCAGACTCTTTTTCTAAAGTATTTTCTGGATGTTCTACAGACCGTTTATCCACAACTAGTTTCAGTGGCCTTTTCTGTCTCTCTGCCTCTGTGGACACATGCTGTTGTTTCATGTGGTCTCTCTGTTTATGGTCTTCTTCAGAATAATTTAAAGCAGGCTTTACTGATTGCACAACGACCTCCTCAGTTTCCTTCAGAACATATTTAAGTGGTTCCTTTCCTTTAGATCTTACTGGTGGTTTCAAAGGCTTCTCCTCTGTTTTTTCTACTTTGCCCTTCTTTACTGTAGACTTATCCTCTTGTTCTTTTATAGTTTCTCTCCCAATAAACTTTTCAAGTGGTTTCACAGGCTGTTTTTCATCCTCGCTGTTCTTCCACAGAACTGTTCCTGGATGGTTTACCTTCCTCTGAACTTCACTGGTTTTCTCTGACCTCTGTTTCACTTCATTTTCCTTTTCCAGAGATATTAATGGCCGTTTCTTTTGTTCAAACACAGCGTCTCCCAGAACCCTGTCTGGTTGGCTGGTGTTATGGTCAACTTTGAGTAATTTCTCTAAATTCTGTCCTGGTTGTCTTGTCGTCATGAAAACTTCTTTCTCTGTTTCCAAAGGCCTTGCTGGCTCCTCCACCTCCCCGCCAAGCTCATCATCCTTCTCCGGTAGTCTCACTGTCTTATCCACTTTCTTGTACACCTCACTGTCTTTCTCCTTCTGTCTCTCCAAATGTGTTACATTCTGTACAAGGTTTGTGTCCATAGACCTTGGAGGTTGGATGCCCTTTTTGTATTCATTATTCTCCCTCAGCATAGAATGTTTTTGGTCAAACATTGACTCCGTATCTTTTTCTAAACTTGTAATAGATGCTTTCCTATGAGCTCTCTTCTTGGGCTCAGGAGGAACAGGTTTGGCCTCTTGGAAGCCAGACCTGTCCTCTGGAGTAGGAGTTTGTTTGGAAACAGTGCCCTTTGCACGAGGCAGTGTTGTAGGAGGCTCTACCTTTGATGGAGTCAGTTGTAGTGCTAGACAAGAAAATTAAACATATTTTTTGACAATTGATATATGCATAGTGGAGGTTGGACAGAAAAAGAACATCCAGTAACTTTGCCAATTAGGTATCAAGATGTACAAACCTTTTACTGTCACAGTTGCAGTGGTCTCTGCACTTCCTGCTTGACACATGTAGCTTCCACTGTCCTCAGGTTTGAGCTCCTTGATGTTGAGCTGGAGGAGGCAGCCATCCTGCCTCATCTCATACTTCCTGTTCGCTCTAAGTGGAAGCTTGTTCTTCTTCCATTGTACGGACACCCCAGGCTTGGTCAATTCACAATTCAAGGAGGCTGTAGCTCCTTCCTCAACCTCCAGACTTTCTAATTCTTTGTTGAAATATGGAGTGAGCTCTAGGTAGGTGGGACAGAGCAGACCAAAATATAGTCCGAGATAATACTACATAAGGGCTCAATAAGACTTGTTTTTAGCTTACATACTGAATGAGCTTGATAAATTGAGTTTGCTAATCTGGAGAATTCAGTTCACAAAATCACATTTGAGTGTTTGAAAAGTATACATCTCTGTCACTGAGAACTTGAGAGATGATACAGCAACATTTTCAATTCATGTAACACCCACATACGCACACCTTTCACTGTCACAGTTGCAGTGGTCTCTGCACTTCCTGCTTGACACGTGTAGCTTCCACTGTCCTCAGGTTTGAGCTCCTTGATGTGCAGCTGGAGGAGGCAGCCATCCTGCCTCATCTCATACTTCCTATTCGCTCTAAGTGGAAGCTTGTTCTTCTTCCATTGTGCGGACACCCCAGGCTTTGACAGCTCACAGTACAGAGAGGCTGGACCTCCCTCCTCAACCTCCACATTTCTTAGGTCTTCCTTGAAGAATGGTGGGAGCTCTGGGAAATGGGTACATGTTGGAAAAACATAATCATATCTCATCCATGTACTGGGAGAATGTTTAAGAGGAGGACAAGACTGTATTTTGTCAATACATACTGTAGCAAGACTTTTCAGCCAACCTTATAACGTAGGTAGTTTTGCAATATGAGCAAAAGAATATGTACTAGAGGTTTTAGACAATCAAAGGAAAGTACTTTAAATTGTATTGTGTAAATGTTTGAGGGCATTGCTAACACAGAAATTTTCATTGGTGTGCAAATTGCCAGATATACACACCTTTCACTGTCACAGTTGCAGTGGTCTCTGCACTTCCTGCTTCACATGAGTAGCTGCCACTGTCCTCAGGTTTGAGCTCCTTGATGTGGAGCTGAAGGAGGCAGCCATCCTGCTTCATCTCGTACTTTCTGTTAGCTCTCAGTGGCAGCCTGTTCTTCTTCCATTGTACTGATACTCCAGGCTTCGACAGCTCACAGCACAGGGAGGCTGTACCTCCCTCCTCAGCCTTCACAATTTCTAAGTCTTTCTTGAAGAACGGAGGAAGCTCTGGGGAAATAGATAAGGATTGGAAAACTTGAAACCTATCCAGAAGTGGATTAAATTGTCTTCGGTGACACATACAGTGTCAAGACTTGTCAGCAAACGTACAAAGGAGATGGGTGGGCCTGGGAATTTTAGCAGCTCAGTATATGCTAGAAAGTTTAGACAATTGTCAGTATGCTAAATTTTGTGTTATAATGCATACATTGCTAATATTGAAGTACTTTAAATTGTATTGTGTAAGTGTTTGAGTGCATTGCTAACATTGAATTTATCATTGCTATGCAAATTGCCAAATGGACACACCTTTTACTGATACAGTCGCAGTGGTCTCTGCACTTCTTGCTTGACATGAGTAGCTTCCACTGTCCTCAGGTCTGAGCTCCTTGATGTGCAGCTGGAGGAGGCAGCCATCTTGTTTCATATCATACTTTCTGTTAGCTCTCAGTGGTAGCCTGTTCTTCTTCCATTGTACTGACACTCCAGGCTTAGACAGCTCACATAGCAGGGAGGCTTCACCTCCCTCCTCAGCCTCCACACTTACTAAGTCTTTCTTGAAGAATGGAGGGAGCTCTGAGAAAATAGGCAAGAAAAAACAGAACTGTACATCTATAATGTAATGGGAACAGTGCTTGAAACCTCAATAGAACAGAACATGTACAGGTTTTTCAGAAAACATATTTCACAAAAGGGTGTGTTTATCATATAGCGTATAGTGGATAACATAACGACCATCAGATAGACCAGAGGGAAAGCATTGTATAATAAAATCTATACTATACTAAAATCTTCTAATAAAGTCAGAATTCTCCAAATGCACACACCTTTCACTGACACAGTTGCAGTGGTCTCTGCACTTCCTGCATGACATGTGTAGCTTCCACTGTCCTCAGGTTTGAGCTCCTTGATGTGGAGCTGAAGGAGGCAGCCATCCTGCCTCATCTCATACTTCTCGCTGGCTCTCAGTGGTAGACTGTTCTTCTTCCATAGTACAGACACTACAGGTTTAGACAGTTCACAGCAAAGGAACGCTGAACCTCCCTCCTCAGCCTTCACATTGTGCAATTCTTCTTTGAAAAATGGCAGGAGTTCTGGGAAAGATAGGATGGCAAGAAATTAATAAGTAAAATGTTTTCTGTGTAATTTTCAGACATTATCAAGTAAAGACCAAATAAGCAGAAAAAATATGTTTATGTTTTTTGTAGCTTAGTTATGTGAAAGATGCGTTTGTCTGTATCATAACTAATCATATTACTTTTCGGGGCATTTTGCTTATCACAAAAAATAATTTTTGTGATAAGTTTTAAGATTAAGATTTAGTTTTCTATGATTTAGATCTTGCAGACCTTGTGTCATTTGCCATGCAAATCTCCAAAATGCACACACCTCTCACTGTCACAGTTGCAGTGGTCTCTGTGCTTCCTGCTTGACATGTGTAACTTCCACTGTCCTCAGGTTTGAGCTCCTTGATGTGGAGCTGCAGGAGGCAGCCATCTTGTTTCATCTCATACTTTCTGCTGGCTCTCAGTGGCAGCCTGTTCTTCTTCCATTGCATGGACACTCCAGGTTTAGACAGCTCACAGTACAGGAAGGCTGCACCTCCCTCCTCTGCCTCCACACTTCTTAATTCTTTCTTGAAGAATGGAGGGAGCTCTGGAGAAAAAGGGATGAGAGAGAGAAAAGTACACATCTCATATCATAGCAATGTCTTAGATGTCACTACCAAAACACACTATAGAATTTTTTTATTTTAGTTTAGCATAATAGTACATTTGAATTTGTATTTGCATTTCAAAGCCAGGAGTTAAAAAAATCACAGGACAGTACATTGACAAATACATTACTCTTTGGTGAGTATGCTGAAAATTTGCAGCACATTACATTTTTTTGTGTGGTTAAATTGTTTACTGCCAATGCACAAACCTTTCACTGACACAGTTGCAGTGGTCTCTGCACTTCCTGCTTGACACGAATAGCTGCCACTGTCCTCAAGTCTCAGCTCCTTAATGTGAAGCTGTAGGAGGCAGCCATCCTGCCTCATCTCATACTTTCTGCTGGCTTTCAGCGGCAGCCCGTTCTTCTTCCATTGAATTGGCACTCCAAGTTTAGACAGCTCACAGTACAGAGAGGCTGAACCTTCCTCCTCAACTTCCACGCTCCGCAATTCTTCTTGGAAGAATGGAGGAAGCTCTGGGAAAATAGGAGAGAAAGAACAGGAATCGAGACAATTGGTGTAAAAATTCTTTCATAGTATAAATTGACAAATGACTGTATAAAGAAAGCAGGTAAAACTGCATTCCAAGGGAAGAAGGTACATTTTACAGTACCTTCATCTTTTTCATTACAATGTTAACATTAACATTAATCCACTGTCTAAAACCAACTTTGATCTTTACCTGTCACAGTAAGTTTGGCACTGCCCTGCACATCTCCTGTATCACATGAGTATATGCCAGTGTCCAGAGGATCCACATCATGGATAAGCAACAGGTTGGCTTTTCCCTCCTTAAGTATCTCATATTTATCACCATGTTGGAGGGGTATGTGGTTGCGCCTCCAGGTAACCGGGGAGGTAACATCAGAGGTTGTGCAGGACAAAGTGGCTGTTTTTCCTTCCATTATTACAACATCTTTAGGCTTTTCCTCAAATAAAACTAGAATTTGAAATCAAATGCCACATTTGGAAGTCTGGTTCGGAGGAAATCATTTCAGCTGAAATTACACATTATGAATGCTGAATTGTTTTTTCCTCTGTCCCTAATGTTTCTGCTCACCTTTGGGCTTAGGAAGAACTAGCAGACATGCAGAGGTCCTCTCCTCCCCAACCACAAATGCAACGTTGCCCGTCTCCTCAGGTGTTGTCATGGTGAGAACCAGTCGGTGCTGGTGACCCTGGCACGTCATCTGGTTCATCTCGTTCTTCTGCAGAGGGCTTGAACCAAGCCACCAGACACCCTCGCTCACGTCTGCATGGCTCAGCTCACACACAAATACTGCATCCGCACCCGCTGTCACCGTTACATCTCGCAGCTCTGTAACAATCCGCACACGCTCTGTGGAGGAAGAGGAAGCTATATGCAGCTGGATTTTTAGAGATGGAATGGGATATATTTATGACAACTTAGGTGAGAATGGCCTATTGGTTTTATTCATGCTGCATTTCTTGTACTGTAAACAAATATATCAGTAAATGAGGGATACAATTCAACTGGAGTATCCACCTACCCCTCACAATCAGCTTGGCAGTGGTCTTTTTGCCTCTGGTGATACAGCAGTACTCTCCAGCATCCTCCAGATACAGTTTCTTGATCTCCAGAGTGTGTGTGGGGCCTTTCTTCTTTAAAATGTATCGCCCTCCTTCCTCCACCACAGTGTCGTCCTTCTTCCAAGTGACAGGGACATTAGAACTGGAAACTTCACAAGACAGCAGCACAGATTTTCCCTCCATTACTGCTTGGCTCTGCAGTTCCTTCTCAAAGAACACTGATGCTGCCGCTGGTAAAAGAAGGACAGGAGACGGTATGCTACAAAAGTTGAATTTACATCTAAAATAATAAATACTGACATAAATACCGTAAAATAAATCAGGACCACCTGTTTATTGAGGAAAAGACAGGCATTCTAATTAATCAGTAGGATTAGATGGGTGTTAGGTCAATGTAATTTAGTCAGCGAACTCATGTGGAACAGCATATTATTATGCAAATAGAAGGTTCATAGTAAATGCGGAGTGTTCTTATCACTGCTTACAAGCACACACCAAGCTCAGCACAAAGAAGAATGACAATTCCTCCCTGGGTACTGCTTATTAAAGCAACAGAAATACGATGAAATAGTATTGCTACCAAAGAACACACAGGCAATAGATAAATCATTAAATATTTCTTAATTAAAAATTGCTGCCTAGTGTAAGAAGCACAAAGTGGCAGCATTTCTAATACCTCTCACGTTCACTTCAGCCGTTGTCTTCTGCTCTCCCAAGACGCAGCTGTACTCCCCGACATCCTCGGGCTGGATGTTTTTGATCTGCATCTCAGCTATCTTCCCCCTCAACGTCATCTGATATCTTCCCCCATGATAGAGCTGGTCCTCCGCCTTCCACCACTGTACCGGCACCCCGGCCCTGGACAGTTCACAGCGAAGGGACACAACGCCTCCTTCAGGGGCCTCTTGGTTCTTCAGACCCATTTTAAAGGTGAGGGGGATAGCTGTGGGAAATTTAAGTTTATGTTTTGTTCATGTGTTCAAAAGGTCATGACACCATACTTTAGTTTCAAGAGCAGATAAAACAGGCTATTTTCTCGACAATAAAAACACTTAAAAGACACAAATAATTAAAAACCAAAAGAAAGAATATATAGCAGGTTGGGTAGGTAATACATTTTGCTGTTTTCTTAAAACACAATATTGAATGTCTTCCCCTTACGTGTAATGGTGATGCTGGCTGTGGTCTTGACGTCACCATAGATACAGCTGTAAAGTCCGCTGTCTTCCAGCTGCGTGTTTTTGATGGTCAACTCCATGATGCTGTTTCGATTTTTAATCTGGTACTTGAAATTATTCTTCAGCAACTCTTGTCCTTTCCTCCACTCCACAGCAAGGCCAGGCTTAGATAGCTCGCAGCTCAACATCACGCTGTTCTCCTCCTCCACCTGCTGGTTCCTTAACTTTGTCTTGAATGTGATGGGAGGAGCTGCAAGGAGAGGAACCAAGGAGAGGTTATTTTCTTTGAAAATGTTATTAGCATCAGTTATTAATACTAATTCCTTGATTTATATTATTTTACTTTATATTATTTTACTAAGTTTTTTCAATTGCAATTTTAGAACTGAAGGCTATGTTAGAAAAAAAAGAGATGGCTTAGATATTCTCTAATCATACATTCAGTGTGGGATCTCTATCTTACCTTTGACAGTGAGCTCAGCAGTTGATTGACTGTCACTGGTCTTGCAGGTATATTTCCCAGCATCACTCTCCTCTACGTTGTTGATGATCAGTTTAGTGAGACGTCCCTCCTGTTTCATCTCATATTTGTATCCAGGTTTGAGGACGACTCTGCCTTTCCTCCAGTTCACTGGGGCTCCAGGTTTGGAGAGCTCACAGGAGAAAACTCCACTGTCCCCTTCCTTCACCTCCAAATTCTCCACCTCTTGTTTAAATGTTACAGGAATTGCTGAGAAAAAAAATGACAAACTAAGCAAAATCTGAATTTTTTTCAGATTTCATTTTCTCATTGTACAGACAATTATGACTAAATGTAATGTTTATTTTGTAGGAAATACCAGGTCTGTTTCAGGGTGGTTAAGAAACGAAATCGCCACCTGAACACTGTCTTCCCATGTGGTTGTAGTGCAGCATACCTCTTACTTTGATGTCAGCTGAAGTCACAACAGTGCCAACAAAACAGCTGTACTCGGCAGCATCTGTGAGAGTTAAATTTCTGATCAGCATCTCAGCCATCCTTCCTTCTTGCTTCATCTGATATTTTTCTCCCTCTTTCAGAAGTTTGGCATCTTTCCTCCACTCTACCGGGACTGCTGGTTTAGAGAGCTCACAGCGCAGAGTCACACTGCCCTCCTCCACAGCTTCCTGGTTCTTCAACTTTTGCTTGAAAGTTACAGGGATCGCTGAGGAGTGACAATACAGAGAGACAATTCAAAATACTGCACTGTCACTGTTGGGGACAATAAAAGCATTTCCTAGCGGGGGATTTTTACAAATTTGAGGTTCTGAAAAAGGTAGGCAGGGGACCAAACCACTGTGAGGCATATGAGGGGGGAGGACACAATCTGTCAAAACTCAAAAAATGCATTCAACTCGTAGTTAAAAAGAGCTGTTAACCATTTGTGTACTAAATACATTCACTAGACACTGATGAACCATTGGACAGTGGTTGTATTCAATTGTTTTGATCAAAATCATTGGTAGGGACAATTCAGTAGTTGTTGGAACTAGTGTTGGTCCAACACATCTTTAGGGACATCCTAATTCTACGCCCTTGTGTATAAGATGTGCAAATTACCAAACCATAATTATGTTTTCTGTTACATAATGTGTAATGGCTCTCACCAGTGATAATGATGGTGGCAGTAGATTGTATGTCATCACAAACACAGCTGTATGAGCCACTGTCCTCAGGCTGGCTTTTCCTGATGAGGAGCTCCACGGTGGAGCCGCTCTGCTTCATTTGGTACTTCTCTCCATTGGTTAAAACACTGTCTCCCTTCTTCCATTGCACTGGAGTGCCGGGTTTGGATAGCTCACAGCAGAGTTTCACTCCATTGCCCTCCTGTACCTGAATATTCTTCAGTTCTTGAAGGAACTTGATTGGCCGTTCTAAATCACACAGCAGGAGAAATATCCAAATGAGATTAAAATATTTTCATGGGGAGATCGTCTGTTTTGATGCTCCCTAGTTCTGACTGGTAACTCAAGTTAATACAACCATAAACCATGAAAGATTTAACATTTACATCAGGTGTCAGCTTATGTCACCTGGTGTTAGTTTAGGTGTTATATTTACTGCAGCAGCACCAGTGGTTTCTTATATAATAAATGCAAAAGATACTGTCACTTTAGCAGCCAATGGATTAAAAAGTAGGCTGAAAAAGAAAACATACAAAACATCACCATCTACAGAAATGCAAAAGTTATCAAGAAAGAGGTGACAATCCAAGACACACTGTTTCAAAGTACAATAGCAAATATGTTACCAAAATAAAAACAATAACAGTGGATCTTCTGGATTACTACCTTCAGAGAACCTTGTGTTTTATTTAAGTTTCCAAGATATTTGAAAAATCACCTACTGTACTGACATATATTGCATCTGTCAACCAACCAAATCATATGCAATGTATTTGTGTATGTATACTCCTACGCAACAAGTTGTAACCCAGAAATTAATTTAAACCAACAATAACTCCACGTTGTATAAAGTGTGTTTGTATGGCAGTATGTAATTTAGTTCCATTGTTTAATTCTTTACTGATAAATTTAGTTGTATTTAGCATGTTTATATTTTACCTTTTGAAATGCAATTTATAAATTAGATCTTTAAGAACACTAGTGTACGCAGCAGGCTACTCACCATTCACAGTGATCATAGCTTTTGTCCTCTGTTCTCCACATATACAGGTATAATCTCCAGTGTCCTCCAGACTGAGGTCCGAAATCTTCATCTCTACCTGCAGGTCTTTCTTCCTCATTTGGTATTTGTCTCCATTTCTCAGCAGCTCTCCTCCTCTCCTCCACTCCACTGCAGAGGCAGGTTTGTTGAGCTCACAGCGGAGAACAACACTGTTGCCCTCTGTCACCTCCTGGTTAACTAGTGGCAGCTTAAAACTTGGTGGTAAACCTGTCGATCAGAGAAAATCTTACATAAATGGCTTAATGGCAAATGGCTGCATTTATATAGCACTTTTATCCAATGTGCTTTACATTTTGTCATTCATTCACACAGACTATCACACACTCACTGCAGCGAGCTACCATGCAAGGTGCTGGCCTGACCATCGGGAGCAATTTGGGGTTCAGTGTCTTGCCCAAGGACACTGTTAAAGGTGGATAGGAGGGCTGGGGATCGAACTATCAACCCTGTGATTAGTGGCTGAATTGTAATTCAATTAAAAAGAACAAAAGCAAAAACGTATATCCTACACTAATGATCACATTAGAATAAAATCTTCAAAATGAGAAGTATTTTTGAAGCCTGAACAGCTTCAAGTTGTAACAAGAAAAGAAATGTATGTAAATAAAGTTCGATGGAAAACCAAGATAAACAAATGACCAAGCTAAGCTATTCTGAATATGGTAAAAATTATCTGATTATGCAGAGATCTACTGAATACTAATGGATTCCATAACACATGTCCTTGCCTTCAAGAAACACAATAAATATTGCATAGAAGTTACATTGTAGCAGTGATGTAAGCGACATGGCAGGTGCTCACAAGAAAATCATGTCATGCTCATAATCGCTCTTTCTAGCTAACCATTCAGTTTAAACGGAACAGTAGAATGGATAATATGATAATCCATAATAGTTGGTGAGTTAAATGTTCTATCCCCATGTCATTAGAAACACTAAAGCTAATACTAATACTACAGTTTAGTTACAGTTTGGGTTGTAGCTATCGAATTGCAAACTACAGCCTGCAGTGACTCTACATGCCATCTACTTTATCTTTTCACCCAGCTCATGAGAAGTAATGTACAGTACACACACAGTACTGTGACATTTAGCCATAAGCAGGACAACACATTGGGTGACATGATAGGAAACAATAATCTCTCCTTTGAGCTTTCAAAAGACTACATAATAGAACTCACGCAGTGCTAATACCCATTGTGTCTATTTTATTTTTTATCATACTACATTAGAGCTGACCTCTTTGACGTCTGCACTCAGGTGTTTCTGTTGAACACATAAGGAAAATTAAAAAAAAAGTGAAAGAAATGTGCTTAACAACGTAATATATCCAACATATGTTTTGACTAAAATTTTTCATACCTTTGACTGTGAGCTCAGCAGTTGATTGGCTGTCTTTAGTCTTGCAGATATATTTGCCAGCATCACTCTCCTCTACGTTGCTGATGACCAGCTTAGTGAGACGTCCCTCCTGCTTCATCTCATATTTATCTCCAGATTTAAGGATCACCCTTCCTTTCCTCCACTCCACTGGAGCTCCGGGTTTGGAGAGTTCACAGCAGAAAACTCCACTGTCCCCCTCCTTCACCACTAGGCACTGGATTTCTCGTTTAAATGTCACAGGCAGTGCTGTTGTTGGGATATTAGAAAATCCTTTATTCATTGAGTGCATTGATTTGCTTACTCAAATGGGCTTCCCCCCTCACTCCTAGACTACACTTGCACTATACAAAATGTACATACATATTTGAAATCGATAGGATCTGTATTGCTAAGTCGCTAAGACATATACTGACAGCATAGTCTGAGGGCAGCACCCCACAGTCTTTTAGATATTATCATCAAAATTACAAGGTTATAACCATATAGTCATTTTAAATGTACTGCAGTCCAAAGCTAATATGGGCAAGAGGCTTTCATAAACTAATGTGTTTTGATTGGTCTTCAAGCTTCAAACTTACGTTTCACTTTGACTTCCGCTGTGGTTTTCTCATCTCCTGTGATGCAGCTGTACTTCCCTGCATCCTCTGGTTGGATGTTGAAAATGGTCATCTGAGCTGTCTTTCCTTCTAGCTTCGTCTGATACTTTCCTCGAAAAATCTCCTCAGACAGCACCTGAGTATCTCTCTGCCACTGCACCGTGACTCCCTTCTTTGACAGCTCACAGCGCAATGTCACATTGTTCCCTTCTTCAGCCTCTTGGCACTTCAGGCTTACTTTAAATGTGGCAGGAACAGCTGTTGAGCCAAACACAGGTACTGATTATACATGTAAGCCGAACAAAACACATAAAGGGATGCTTTACAGTTAGCTCAATAAACTTCTAAAAATACGTCAATGAACAATAAACAAAGAAAAAAGAGAGTATGCTTCGTTACACACATCTGACACTTTAAACACACCAATAACTTTAACAGTAGCCTTAGTCCTCTGCTCTCTACACACACAGGTGTAGACCCCGCTGTCCTCTGGATCAGCATCTCTGATGATCAACTCCAAGGCCGACTCCCTCTGCTTAATCTGGTACTTCTCTCCGTTCTCCAGCAGATCTCCTCCAAGCCTCCACTCCACTGGGACACCAGGTTTAGAGATCTCACAATACAGTGTGATGTTGTGTCCTTCCTCCACTTGGAGGTTTTTTAGCTTTTGCTTGAAGGTGATGGGAAGAGCTGAAAGGCAAAGATAACGTTTGGTAATGAGAAATAAATGAAATCAGGATTTAAATGAGCAGGAAGTATGCTATTGTATTTGTGTATAATTGTGCTATTTTGCTTCTACATTAATGTGTGCTTTGCACCGGTGAAAAGAATACAAATAAGGTTTAGCATCTTGCTAAAGAGAGTTACAGTAGCTATCATGTTATCAGTTCAGTTTTCAGTTCATTTTTCTTTTCGTACAGTCGATGAGGCTCATGTGCATACTAAATAGAAAAGTAATCTAATGCAATTCAGTGTTTTGTATTGCTTTTTTAATTTGGTTTTGCTCAGCAACTTGCGTTCTGATCTGACTCCGGTTTTGTTAAAATGACTCCCTGCCCCTACAAAACAAACAGAATGAAACATTGTCAATAACTAACACCTACCATTAACAGTCAGAGTTGCAGTGGTCTCTATGTTTCCACAGATGCATGTGTAGATGTCACTGTCCTCAGGTGTTACATCAGAGATCCTCAGTTCAATCAGCATGTCTTTCTGCCGCATATGATATTTCTCTCCATTCCTGATGAGTTCATTCCCCCTCTTCCTCCACTCCACACTGTGACCGGGTTTTGACAGCTCACAGCGTAAAGTCGCAGTGTTGCCCTCCTCAATCAGCACGTTCCTCAGCTTCTGCTTGAAGGTGACTGGGAGAGCTGAGCGTGACCATATATTGAGATACATCATTTACTGATAATTATCAACTTTATTTGTAACTAAAACTAAAACCCATGAGCCTATTGGTAAATTACCAGTAATTTTGACAGTGGCTGATGTCCTCTGATCAGCACACACACAGCTGTAGAGCCCACTGTCCTCAGGCACAGGCTTCCATATCAGAAGCTCCAGGGTGGTCTCCCTTTTCCTAATCTGGTACTTAACCCCATTCTTCAACAACTCATGTCCCTTCCTCCATTCTACTGGAATTCCAGGTTTAGACAGCTCACAGCGCAACATGACGTTGCTTCCTTCCTCTACTTGCATGTTCTTTAACTGCTGTATGAATGTAATGGGAATAACTGGAAAACAAGAGTTGTGTCCGGTGAAAACAGTGAAGCTGTGCACAATAAGAGTAATTTAACAAGCAAAATAGTTTCATGATACAGACAAATCTGACAAACCAATATATAGTGACGATGTTGTATTTTATTCTGGAAGGGAAAAACTTTTCTCATTGTTGGTTGTAGTTTCAATGTTCTTGTGAACTTGCTCCATTTGCCGCTGTTCATGACAAGTGGCTAACTGGGATATCTCAAACCATGGTATATATAATAGACTGAGTTCACGTCTTTGCATCAATGTTACTGCAAAGCATAGCAGAAAAATATCGCAAAACATTTTTTGTAAAATTAGGTATGAAGGTTAACAAAAGTTAATGACATACCATGTACATTGAGGCTTGCTGTCGTGCGGTGGTCTCTGCACTGACATGTATATTCTCCTGAGTCCTCAGGCTTCAGGGCTTTGATGGTTAGGGAATTGATTGTCTTCCTCTGCTTCATCACATACTTGTCTCCAGGTCTGATACTCTCAAAACCTTTCCTCCAATGGAACTGGACCCCAGGCAGAGAGTATTCACAGGTCAGGGTCACGGTCTCCCCCTCTTTGGCCTCCGCAGTCTTTAGAGGCTGGGTGAACTCTGCTGGGATGGCTTAAAAAAACAAACAAAGTGAAAAAAAACAGGGATACAAATTTTACATCAATAACCAGAAAAGCTAATGTTATCACACCATGTATAATCCTATATTAACAATCACATCCTTCTGGTATTTCATGTTGGGAAATATCAAGCAAGAACAATCCCTAAATAACAGTCCAGTAAAATGCTATTCATACCTTTAACAGTCACAACGGCCCGAGTTGTTACAGATCCAGCACTGCACTCGTACACTCCGGCATCATTGTTGCAGACCTCCCGAATCGTCAGCCGCGCCTCACAGCCGGAGCGATTGGCAAAATACCTTGAGGAGTTCCACATCAGGCAGCCATCTTTGTACCACAGGATGTGACATGGCTTGGAAGTCTCACAAGACAAAACCAAACCACCTCCTTCAATAGCCTCACAGTCTTCCAGGGCTTTAATGATGGTGGGTCGCCTCTCTGGTAACGTGACGTGAAGCCAAATCAAGAACATATGAAATGTGACATAAAAATACAAATACAAACTCTCTGTCAGATTAAAGCCTCACCTCTAACCAACAGTGAGGCGTATGATCTTTTGTCCCCTGCTGAAAACGAGATAGTGCCAGTGTCTTTGCGGGCAAGCTGTCTAAATGTGAGGGTGTGGTAGCCTCCAGGCACCATCTGGATCTCATTGAGCTTATTGGTGTACAGCAAAGTCTCATCCAGATACCACTTGACCCCCATGTAGTCGCTGGGAAAAATTCGACACCTGAATGTTACTGTGTCGCCCTCCAGACACTCAACATCCTCTAATTCATCCAGGATAGACACCTTCTGACCTGAGAGAAACGTATAAAAAATCCCATCAACGTCATTAACAGTAAGTACTAAAAGCCTTAATCAACATCCTTACATTCAATAATGATAAACCTTGAGTCATTTTGGCAGAGGATTTTAGCCTATCATTTATAATAACAGTAAGACACTATTTTGCTCTCATGCAGTATCTGTTTAATAATATATTGAAATTCCGTTTCTATTGAGGTCCTTGAAATAAAGATTTTAATGGACAGTGAGTAGCCTAGTATTTGTGTATAATTGGGCCATTCTTATTTAACATGTGCAAAAAATTATGGAGGGTTACAGTAATATAACATATTTCTAATTCATAAATGCTCAGCTCTGTACTTTTGTTGAGTATTTACTTTGTAAGTCAATTTATTACTCAGTTAAAGGGAATAACATATCCAAGAATTTCTCCTACAACTCAAATGACAGTTAATATAAAGAGCCATCCTGATGTGGCTCACATGTAATATATTATATCACAATGGCCTCACCCTGCACAGTCAACTGTGCCCGGCTCTGCATGGTACCGACATCACACACGTAAATATCTGCGTCCGATTTCTCCAGACAGGTGATGGTCAGGGACAGCACCTCACCCTTCTGCCTGATCACATACTTCCTACCAGACCTCAGCTCAAGCATGCCCTTTAGCCAGGTCACCCGCTTGGCTGGCCGCTTGGTCTCACACTCAAGGGTCACTTTACCCTTTTCCTCTGCTCGCATGTCTCTTAACTCCCTTGCAAATGTGTGCTGGAGTTCTAAAAGAAATAATCAAGTTTAGAAAACTGAGTCAAGCTTTACATTTAGTACTGCAATCACCCATCCACATTACAAAACAGGACACAACACTGAGCAGCATCGATTTGCTATGCTCCACAGTCAAGAACCAGACATTGTATTGTTAATAGTCATCATCTAACATTCATCTTGAATTCCCTCACCTACCTCTGATCTCCAGCTTGGCACGCGAGGCAACGCCTTCGGCCTCACAGCAGTACTCTCCAGAGTCTCTGATGGTGGTATTCTTGATCACCAATCGCGCCAGGTTCTTCTCCACACTCATCTCATATTTAGGGCTCGGCCGAATCAAATGGCCATTTTTCAGCCAACGGATGGTGACTTCTGGTTTGGTGATCTCACAGCTCAGCTCTGCATCTTCACCTGGCACTGCCTTGACATTCAACAGATCCCTGAAGATGTGCACTGGCTTCTCTAAAGGAGGGGAAATGCATTCACTCACATTCAGGCTTTTTTTGTAAATGCATCTACCAAATAGCATATTTCAAAATTAAAGATACAGAGACAGGTATACCCACATACACAAACATGGATAAAACCGTGCTGATTATTTAATATAAGTATTCACCTTTAACAAAGAGCATGGTCCTACAGCTTAAGTCTTTAATTGTGAAGACCACGTCTCCAGCGTCTGTCAGTATAGCATCTCTAATGGTCATCTTATACTTGTGGCCATTGTTGACAACCTGGATACGGCTATTGGTGACCACCACTTGGCCATTGATGGTCCAGGAAGGCTCATCATCGAGGTCATGAGAGAGGTGACAATCAAAAGTGCAGCTTTCACCTTCCTGGACAGATATTGTCTTCATTCGCTGAACAATAGTGATGTGTAGGTCTGGGGATGAATATAATATCAAAGCAGACTTATAACAGTAAATATATCTTAGCTACAGAGTACCAATACAGACAAACACTTACAGAATGTCATGAACAAAAGAATGACAGAATGCCTCATTGTCAGTTTTAAGAAAAATGTTACCTCAAGTTCACAATTAAAAATGCTTCAAAAGTTATTATATCATTCTATCAATCGTTTTGTGGCACTGTTGTCAGAAGACAGACAGCTTCCTGTAAAGATTTGATTTTCAATGTGTAGAGCTCTTCCCAAATAACCAACAACTTTGTTCCTACCACTCACCATGTACAGTAACTTTAGCCTTGGTTTGGCTGGTGCCCAGGTCGCAGGTGTACTCTCCTGCGTCGTCCTTGCTCAGGGAATGGACGATCAATGCCATGGACTTCCCAAACTGGAGCAATTCGTGTTTATCATCAGCCGTCAGGACCATACCATCCTTCCTCCAAACAGGGGTCACTGTCTCTTTGGAAATTTCACACTGCAGGCAGACTTCTCCTTTTTCTTCTCCTACTGCATCCTCCAGAGACCTCAGGAACACTGCCGGGCGCTCTGGAGTCAAGAATATCATTCATAGTGTGCATGTTTCTCAGAAATGAATAAATAGAAATTTAAGTATCAGAAGAACACCTGGTCATACACTTCATTTATTCCCTTAGCTGACCTTTGACCTTTAAGGTGGTTATCTCAGAGAGAAGGCCTGCTTTGAAGGTGACCCTGCTCTCCTGTGGGCGCAGCTTCTTGATTGTGAGGCTGTGCATAGTGCCCATGTGCTGGATCCTGTTGATGGCATTGGAATAGAAGCGAACATTGTTGAGGAGCCACTCCACATTGGCGACCACATAGTTGAGCTCACATGAGAATGTGGCAATGCCATCCTCCTCAATTTCCACCGGCTCAAGGTGTTTAACCAATTTCAGTGTTCGCACTACAGTAAAAGGGGGAAATAAGTTATGTCAATCATCAACTGAACAAAAAGAGGTAGTATAATAAAAAACAGAAAATCATCAATATCCAATACAAAGAGTGTTAATACTGTACCACACTCTTCAATTTTCCCAAAACCATGTTTAACCTACCTTCTACCTTAACATGCGCTGTGCTCTGTGCACCCCCAGCCATGCAGCGGTACTGTCCTGCATCCATCCCCGTCAAGCCATGAACAGTCAGCTCTGCCCGTTTCCCTTCCCTCTTCATGCTGTACTTGTTTGAAGTTTTCAGAGCTGTGCGACCTTTAAACCACCGCACCACCCTGGGAGAGGGTGCAAACTCACAACTCAGAGTCACAGAGCTGTTCTCCTTCACCTCTACATCGTTCAAGTGGTGGGCAACCTGAAGAGGTCGCTCTAGATGGGAGAGATGGAAAGTTGCTTTATGAGACACTGAGACAAACAAATTATAAATGTATTCACTTTACCCAATTCATCCTTTTCAGGATCATGCAAAGCATATAGTGTTGTGGTTTGGGTTTTGTTGTGTTGTATTTCCTGTTTTATTTTGAACTTTTCTGTTTCTGCTGTCTCGTCTGAACTTTTACTGTCTTTGTATCCTTAGTTTGATTGCTTGTACATGTCTCGTTTACCTAATGTGTTCCACCTGTGCCTCATTTTGTCACTTCCCTCTTGTATTCTTAAGTCTCTGTCTTTTCTTCAGCTGTTGTCGGTTCGCTGTTTTACGTATGTTTCACATATGTTTCTGTGGATTATTCTGTTGTGTTTTGGATTACTTTTGGATTTCATGTTTTATTTTATTTTATTTTTTTTTATTTTAGTTCTTCTTGATCTATGGATTTGTTTATTCCATGTACTGCCTGCTTCATTATTTTAGTAAGTTACTCTCACTAATGTAAAATAAACACTGAAACTGAACCTGCTCAGCTTTAGTGTGTGCATTCTACGTTCAAATCCCTGTTTCCTGTGTTTTCACTTCACAGTCATAACAGTACAATCAGACCAAATTATGGACCTAGCAGACATTAATTTGTTACTGAAGGACCTTTAGAGAGTGATCCTCCACTCTTGAGGGATTACATTCTGCCATTAAGAACTCCTTAAAGCGCAGGCTGTTTGTATTCACTCATGGAAAAGACAATTCTCTCCACAACCAGGCTTTAGAACTATCCACATACCGCCCGCCCCAGGTCTCGAGCTATGGTTCACTCCCCCTCTGTCCTGCCTTCAGTTCGGCCTGCCTGAGGGCGCCTGCCCCTCTCCAGAACAGCCCTCAGGCCATCTGCCTAAGGTTTCCTGCTCCGCGCCTTGCTCCTAGTAAACTTACACCTGTATCCCTCTTCTGAACCTCCCTCCACCCACCCTGGCTCGTTCCTGGCCCTTTTGTCACCTGTTCCATTCCCCTGTTCCATTCCCCTGTTCCCTGGACCATTGCAGATTGCAGGGCTAACACTGAGAGCAGGCACTTACAGTTCAGAGCCTGCTTTGAAACATGGCCTTTTGAGATAATCCAAACTGACTGCAAAACTATTTTGAAGGCATTTTACTGAGCTATATGTTCAGTTCTATCCTGACTGCTAAAGCCATGCAACTTATGTTTCAATGCTCAGAGATGCTCCTTGCTGTAGCAATGCAGCAATACGTACATAAATGTGTAATTCATGGCAATATGAATAAATAAAGACATGCATGGACATGTATAAATTCCAAATAACCCAAAATAAGCAGATATTAGTGTTTATTATTCTAAAACACTTAAATACTAACATATAAAATGTCTTCATAGGAGAAGTTATTAGTTAGTAATTCCTAATGACTTTTACATTTTTACTGGTATCCGGCAACTCACCCTTGACAGTAAGCTGAGCAGTGGAACGACTCTTGCCAGCTACAAAGAGCACGGGACCAGTCATGGAGCTTTCTGTGGAGGTGAGACAGAGGCTGTGGACGGTGCCCTCCCTGTCGATGTTCACTGCTGCACTGGGATCCAGTACCTCACCGTTCAGGGTCCACCGGGGGGGCCTCCCTGATTTCAGGCTGGTCTCCACTTGGAATAGCGCTGGCTCTGGCTCCATCACCTCCACTGAGCTCATCCCCCGTACTATGCTGATAGCCTGTTCTGCATGCACAGTCGTAATACACATTATCACTACTGACACTCCTGACTTAAAACATCACAAAGAACACTCTTGGTTGTTTAGTTTGCACATTAGAAACACTGCTACACACTTAACATTGTGACTGATATGATTCTCACCCTCCACCAGAAGCTGACAAGAGGTCTTGTCATCTCCTGCATCACAGGTGTAGGTGTCCTCATCTGAAGAGCAGATGTCATCGATGGTCAGCTGCCTGTAGATGTCTTGGCTGATTAGTTGGTACTTCTTGCTGGGCAGGAGCTCTTTCCTGTTTTTGTACCACCTGACCTGAGCATTAGGCCGTGACACCTGGCACTCCAGCAGACCCCGGTGTCGATACATGGCTATCTTGACCCTCAGAGGACGCACTATTTGAACTGGGAGCTCTGAAGACGGCAGGAACAGGCTGTTAGCCTTAAGTGACCAAATGGGGACAGACATCGTTCTGTCCACAAATTCATGTAATATCATGACACAGTCTGCTAGCTCACCTTTTACTGTGAGAGTTGCATAGGATGAGACTCGCTCTGCTGTGAATCTGATCTCTCCAGCATGCTCTGGCCTGACAGACTTGAAGAACAGGGAATGAGTTTTACCTGCAGTCAGATCAAAGCAAAATGCACTGTAATGCACTAAATATTTTTACACCTACAAACTGCCTGGTAAAACCTCTATGACCACTCAAACACAGCTTCTTCACAAAGTAAAATACACTATAAAGCAAGCATGTATATATATATATATATATATATATATATATACTCTTTAGGCTTTAGTTTCTGCAAAAACATTGTTTTGGTTTGTCTCTTACCCTGGTGTCTGATCTTGACGTTGTCCCCAGGACGAATTCGGCAGTCATCTCTGTACCACCGGCCTTCCACATCCACTTGGTTGACCTCACACAGGAAATTCACAGGTTGACGCTCCATTGTGTCAACATCCTCCAGCTCCTTCACTATGTGGATGTCTTTAGCTGGCAAAAGATAACCAAAACAAGCTTGTAAATTCAGTTAAAGCAACCAACCAAACGGAATCTGGTTGTCAAAGTGTTTGAGTGTTGTTTGTTCATTCATAAAGGTGATGAGGATCTGATGTAGCTGTTCAAAACTGTTAAGAGTCTACAGGCATGCTAAGGGCTCTTTGAGTGCATTTGTTTGAATTAAGTGGTCACATCAGCCCGCTAATATGCTTACAATGATAATGCTAATATGTTAATGTTTAGCAGATATACTGCTTACCATCTTAATTTAGTTTATGAGCATGCCCTGATCAGGGGATCACAATAGTCACAAGGAGGGAATGTCTGTACAAAATTTTGACATTTCTGACATGGCAGCGAGCCAAAAGACAGACAGACCTGCCACTAAACATGGCTAAAAAAATATGTTGGATAAACGAATATTCCACAATGTACATGTTCGTTTTTCTTTATCTTATATATGATATGTATTATTACTTATTTAATCATTCAGCATTATTAAATTATTATTAAATTAACAGATATTTACATTTATTTAAGTGAATAAAGCTATTACCTGTTATACTGCAGTAAGACAAGATTGCAGTCATATTTTAATTAATTCATCCCATCATTTTATTTTTATGATCTGGTCAGGTCTTGGCTTTGACCTGGATTTGACCTGATGTGTCAGTTGTCACATGGACAAATAAATACCGCGGCCACAGAAGTAAAACAGCCCATTGTACCTACTTACCTCTGACAGTGAGTCTGCCTGAGGTCTGAATGCCATTGGTTTGAAAAGAGAAGAGGCCTGCGTCTCCCAAAGCCACTCTATTCAGTATGAGGGAGTGTTTCTTCCCATGTGTGCTGATGCGGCAGTTGGGCTTGGACTTGAGCTGCATCCCATCTCTGGTCCACACACCCTCAATAAAGGCCAGGTTGAGGGTAACCTCGAAGGAGCAGCTCTCACACTCAGATATCTCAACATCCTCCAAGCCCTTCACCACCTGCAGACGGTTCTCTACCACACAAACATACACACACAGCATTAGAGACTCAAAAGCTTATTTGCATTTGTGAAAACTACACTGAAACATACAACTTTGTGTGAGATGGGGACTTACTTGCAGCAGCTACTATTCCTCCAGGTATATTGTCTCCCATGCCTCTTGCTCTTCTCTCGGTTATCACAGAAGGGCTACAACTATAATATGATGTAAAAAAACATATGCATCAGGCAACGGTCTGGCTCAGAAGATAACTCAGCTGTATCGTTGATATTCTGCCATAAAAACTCATTCACACTTACTGCCATTCAGCTTCTTTCAGGTACATAACATAACATGTTGCAATGTATGCCCTGTGCTTGTTTTGGAGAAAACTACACAACACATACCAAACAAATTCCTCTCAGACTAATAATGATATAAACCACCACTTCCAAAATGGCAACATAGTATTGCATTGCATTGGATACAAACGGCATCACCCTCACATGTTTGATCCCTGTGATGGCATGCCAGTCCTCAGTAATGAAAACCAGAGTAATCTCTGTCACTTCACTTGGCTGAGCTCAGCACCACCAATATAGACTCAGCTGCGTTGCCACCTTTATAAGATAGCATGCACTGAACTGAAAAGAAGGGGAAGCTTTAAAAAACAAATGAGAGGCCAAATGAGAACTGCCAATTACTAAACGGATTGATGTGATATTTGAGATCATGAAACACTTTTCAGAGGCTGACTCCTCCCACTATCATCGGGGGCATTATGTTTTCTGTGTGCTCTATGAGGGGGGGGTCAGCTTACCTAAAATGACATTTCATAATGCGTCACACAATAACAATGAATTTGCCAACCATCATCCAGAATAAGAAGCTTATTATGAATACTTAAGTTATGACTCCTGTAAAATCCTTTCCAAGATGTCACGCAAAAAAACTAAATTCAATGGAAATAAAAAAAAGTTGAGCAACTCAAAAAAGCAGTGATTGAAATACGATACATACACCCATTAAGACATTCCTAAGTAACCTTTCATGAAACTATCTTAACACAACTGTGCAGTGTTTAACTAATTTTCCATAAACACCAGCTTCAATAGTGATTGTCCTTTGGTTATATCAATGTATACAAAACAGTAATGACTATAAAAACTACCAAAATAACATATCACATCACATGCAGCGATCGACCCACCTTCAACTTAGACAGGTGTTTTCTAGATAGAATAAATCCTTGCATGCCCTCTTGTTGCACTGATGACAAAAAGCAAAACACCTTCACCTGAAAAAAAAACTGGATAAAACATCCACCATGGCAACATATCTGTCTTGTTTCTCCCAAAGCCTTTAAGATTAACAACAAACGTTTAGCCAAAGCAGAGCATGCCCAGGTTTGCAGGCTGTGTCCCAGTCCCCAAAGCAGACAGCCTATAGCACTTTTTCTCTTGCTTTGATGGAGTGTAGTGCTGAACAGCTGACATATCTCTCCCCACATACTAACCTCCAAAATAGCCTTCTGTCAGTATGAGGGCAAAGATAGCTTTGGTTTCAATGATGTGAGGCAACTCATGTCCAGCATCAATAGAACTATGAAAAACAATCAAAATGTAACAATAGGCTTTGTGTGTTTGATGGTTTTCTTGTGTGCATCAATGAGTGAGAGGCAAGCTTGGTGCAAATTACTTGAAAGCCTCTCAGTAAGTTAAAGTCAATTTACCGTCATGTAGCATGAGGATGTAGGTGAGTGGTCTACATAATTTGTACTGTCTTCACATGAATGTGTTGTTTTATACACAATCACACAATTCACTACCAGGTTGATCTCTTCCACCAAAATGACTGCTCCAAGAAAGAAGTACAGTAGTACAGCATTCTGTGCATTATACGGCTGATGAGGTTTAATCATGTGTTTTTTTTACAATACTGACCCATAGCTAACAGTGTGCAAAACCTAGAGATCAAAGTCCATGGATCTCCACATGTAGTTTCCACCACTGCTGAAGTTTAAAGGTCACAAAAGATTAACCGATATTAAGACACATATCCTCTCTTAAATAACATCCTGATCAGCATTCCCTTATGAGGTCATTTACTGGCATCAGAGTTAAGTCATTAGCCATGATGCTTGAGCTCTCGATAGAGTCACACTAAACAGAAAACATTCAAAGTAACACAGCAGCCATGCAATGCAGACATTAATTCCACATAGCTGGGAAATGCCACTGCACCCACCTCTACCTTCACCTACTCCAAAATATGTTAGGCTAGGTTTGTTTGCATTACAACAATAAGGTTGACATGTGTGGGGTTCCCTCATCCAGACAGCAAGACAGAACAAAGCCAGCACTACCCAGCATTGTGGTTGCCTCAGTTTGACAGACAGCTCCATGTGCCACTCCTAAGTCCACTGAAACGCGACAGGATAATCTCTGTGGGGCATAGAAAACAACTTGTCGTCACGGAGAGGGGAATGATGGCCTGCAGAAGCAAACCAGTCTCATTTTACAGATCACCAGCAACCCATTCATTACAAAACTTTTAAAGCTTTTTTGGATATTGGAGTAGGGAATGACAAAGAGTCCATTTAGGTTCCCCATAATACTTTTTGCTCAAGTATCCTCAACAGAACATGATTTTATTTGATTAAAGAAAATCTAACAAAAGGTCCTATAGGTCCTGCCACAGTAAAGACAACCAACAGATCTTGAAATGTGGACCTTGTCTGTAGCATCCTATTAATGGTGCACAGGATATAAATAGAGTAATGCTAAAGGAACCAAGGCAATGTGAGGATGTGTTGAGTGAATTTTAGAACTCGACAAAACAGCTGAACACTCCACTTAAGCCTCTGGATCAGTGTTTGGGAACTCTCCCCCTCCTGTGTGTCACATTTCCTCTGGTCCAGACCCTCTTCACCTGACAGCCATCATAATAGAGGTATATAGAAATGTTCAACACATATAGTCTATCGCAACATGTGCCTACAGTAGTCATCTGAGCCTCATCTCAAGGTGTTGTGTTCAACATCATAATATTAGCATGTAATTTCTGTCAGCAACATCCCAAATGTAAAAATCCTAACCATGTGCTATGTAAATGCTCAGTATTTTTACAGCACCATTCTAGTCTAACTAACATTCATACATACACATGGAGCCTGGAAGAGCAGGGGATTGAACTGCCGATCAGGGGATTGAACTGCCAATCATGTGATTAGTGGTCAACTCACTCTTCCTCCTGAGCCACAGTCGCTATAGCTGTACAGTAGAACAACATTAGATGCCCATGGCTGAAGCAAATAAACGTACAATCTTGGCATGTGGCAGCGTTGGCCTTGGGTCTGATAACTACAGCTAGGCCATGTATTTCAGATCATTTCATTTATGTAGAGTATGTAGTTCGGTTGGCGGCATATTCAGGAAAATATTTCAACAAGGATCAGTCATCCAGTGGATCAACTCCAAACATAATCACATGCAGAAGCAGATTACAAGGTTTAAACATGAAGAAAACATTGAAATGGAAAACAATGCAGAGGTAAAAGCAAAAAGAGAAAAACTATTTATGTTCTTTGGACAAAATTATCATTGTATCCTACTTAGAACTCTTAATATTAATATTATAATAACAAGACAGGAGTAAGCACCCTCCCTTATAGGCTGTACAAAGTCCTATTTGACGTTTGGGACCTGTGGCAGAAGAAGCTTTCAATGTGATATGGCATTATAACATTGTAACATCAAACACTAGTGTAAGCATTTCACTGCTAACCATTTCTGTTGCATTCTCAAATACGTAACCTGCAGCCACAATTAACTTAAAGAAAACACTCAACAAAAAGCTTAATTTTATTTATTTATTTTGTAGGGAGTAAATGGGATAGCCATCAGAAGGCAATTTACATACAAGCTTCAATAAATATTTAACTACATTTAACTACTTATTTTTTCCCTTTCTTCTTTGCATCTTTGCCTTTAGTTGGTGCCTCTTCTTCCTTTCCTGTGGCAGCTTTAATCCTCTTCTTTCCCAGGGGGGTCTTCGCATACCAGCTCTGGTGATAAGCAGGAAAGAAAAACAATTAATCAAGAAATATAAACTATACAAATATGATCCTATTATTAAAATTAATTTACAATTTACACCAAATCAGTTACACTCATGAAAATGCAATTAAAACTAAATATGACATATCCACTATACTTTAAGGGCCTCTTCTTCTTCCTGAAACACTGGGTCAATCTTGGCTAATGGGGCGACAAACTCAGCAGCAGTCAGCGGTCTGTTTGCCTGCTGTAGGATGCGACGCTTCGTGACAACGCTCTGGATAACCCGGACCATGTGACCTGGTGTGTAGCCATCAGATATCTTCGCAAGAGAGCTGAGGTCCAGCGCCCTGGTTACCTTCCCTCCCTGCTTTTTGATCAGTTGCTTCCACAAGACTGAAGGTAAACAGTCAAAGTTCATTTTTCAGATCAACAACCAAAGATATCATTAATATGACATTAAAAATTAAAATGGTTTCTCAGTGTGTCTATTCTTACTGTATCTTGAGCCGTAGTCGGGTCTCGGGATGAGGATTATTTTGCTGTACATTTTACACAGTGACTTGATATCAGCACTTAGTGGGTCTTTAGTCGTTCCTACTATCAGAACGCGATCCTCCCCTTTAATTAACTTGAGAGACTTGGGCAAGTCTTTCTTCAAGCGTTTGGGATCCAACTGTAAACAAAACGGTTTCAATTACCACGCAAATCCATAACTGAAACATTTAAACAACATGATAATGCTTTTATGTTGTTCAGAGATACCTCTTTTTCTTCCTTGGGGACTTTTTTGTAGAACATTTTTTCTGCGTCCTCAATCCATATTACAGAGGGTTGCAGCAATCTTGCAACCTGTGCGAAGATGACGATGAAGAGCTGTATTTTCACTTTCTGGCCAAACCAAAATGTAAATACCTGCGAGAAGCACTTCCTCGTGTTCCACCAAGTTCAAAATACTGAACTTAGCCAACTGCACTAGGTACACCGTGACAACATACTGCCCACACATACCACAAACCACAGTGGAAGAATATTCACTGTCTGCATTATTTGCAGAACAATTTCTAAAGAGGTTTGTAGGTCAGCACTAGATTTTTCTACCATCATACCAGTGTGTTACCTTAAACACCATGTGAAGCATCATGGCGAGGCCACTCTTGCCTGGGTACTTTCCTGCCGTGTTCAGGGGAGACAGATCAAACAAGTTGGCACCCGCCTCCTGGCAGATTGCATGGACCAACATCTTCTTACCTACACCTGCCGGTCCAGCCATTAGGATGGCCTTTATCAGAGGAGCCTTCTCATGTACCACCTGAGAGCCTACAGAAAACACACTCCTTATTTTCAAACCACAAACATTATTTTCAGATATATTTATTTTAAATATGAATTGAAGAATTTTCATACCTAGTGGTAAAACTGCATACAGAGATAAGACCTGCCGCACATCAGACAATGATGGCATGGGCTCAATGTCATTTTGCCTCAGTGTTGTCCCAAGGTAGCTATAGTCCCCTAGGAACAGGAGGGAACAAATATTAGACCAAAACCAGTTATTAATCTACACTGTTTAAACTCAATTTCTTTACCACACAAAAAAAATGTGCCAATAGGAAATTGTTTATTGCGATCACAGTGTTTTGGCAATCATAAACCAGAAGAGGGCAGCACATCACCACTAAATTGTTTCCATCTTCCTTGGCTGAGAGTTATGTACTCTGTCTACCGGCTGATTGCAATTAGGTTAAAAGCTCATATTCAATTATGATCTTAAGAACACAAAGAGTTCTGAAAGATGGCACACCAGTTTACACAAACAAAATACAAACTCTTACCCAAGTAATCCTGCAGCCTAACATTATTTGCCTGTTTCAACAATCCCTGTTCCACCAGCTCCTGACACAGAGACCCTAGAGTCCTAGTAGACGTGGATAAATAATGTAATCGTTTTCTCCAGCATTTCTAGTGACTAATGTATTGTCTTCATATAATTTATGAATAATAATTTCAATAATTTTGTTCCTAAAATCATATACTTTAAAAGTGCATCCTCTGTGTGACCTTACCTATCAGATGTCAAATCTTTCTCCTTTTTTTTCTTTTTCCCACTCTTAGATCCTTTCTTCTTCTGTGGAGTAAAATAACCAGGTACATAAACATGACATATACAATGTGTGGATTGTTATTTGTCTTTCACTTACTACCTTGGGATTTCCTTTGGTTTTACCACCCTTGTCTTTGTCCACAGCTAGCTTCCATTCAGCCAGCTCTTGTCTCATCTGCTCATCTACCTGATACAAGCAGAACAGACCAGTGTATCAACTACAGGTGGTGCTGTTACCAGTTTTAAACACCAATGAATGAGACACTAAG